AGTTAATCTGTCATGACATGAGAGATTAACTATAGTAATATGAAAGAATCAGGTGATCCTTAACTTCTTTTGAGTAGTATATAATAAATGCCAAAGTGGTTTGTTGTCAGGAAAATAGTACCTTTATCAAACTGTAAATATATCAAAAGTTTTATCACAATCAGTCTCCATGTTACATGCATATTTATTTCTTGACTGTCCTTAGTACGTTCCCTCCCCCCAACTAGGCCCTATTCACCAGTAATTACCCTGTGATTTGAAACATTTATACTTTAACAGTGTTACCGCTTTATATAACCAATCACATCTCCCTGTGAGTGTAACACATAACAATATCACAATTGATAATTCAAGTGTTCAAGTATTGTGTTCTTATCAAAAGTAAGTAAATGACACACGAGAACTTAACCGAGTGAATGAGTTGGGTTTTACTCTGCTTTTAGCAATATACCAGCAATATCATGGCGGGGGACACCAGAAATGGGCTTCACACATTGTACCCATGTGGGGAATCGAACCCTGTCCTTCGGCATGACAAGTGGATGCTTTAACCACTAGGCTACCCCACCACTCCAGAATTAAACGGAATGGAGTATTGGAGTGCATAATCCCCAATCTCCTAAATCTGTAATCAACGTCACTATGAATTGTGTGAGTTAGATATAATGATATGTTGAGCAGTATTTCGGTTATATCATGTCACGTCAGCTTAACATGGTAAGAAATAAAAGCGATGAAACCCTTTCCATATTCACTACAACTCTGCTTAAAGCTAAATGCCCTGAAGTGAAACAGGTAAAGACGTTTACCACTTTGGGGAAAATTGATGAGCACAGGAATAATGTGACAATTATTTATCTTTCAATCTGATGTTTCGTTTTGGTACAGATGCTAGTATCTTCATTGATACTACATCTTCTAAAATACCACTTACAGAGATATATCATAAGATTCTGGCACACCAAAGGGATGCAACTCTGCATGTCAAATGGTAAACCATTAGACAGCGGGATCATCTGTGCCATGTATTATGTATTTTGTCAGAATGTAAAACGGCACCAAGAAACGGAATGGAACTCAAGCACAAAATTTTCAGTTACCGCAATCTGGTACCCCCTGCAGCCCCTCGTCAAAGTTGGTCATTGGAGGATTTGTCTATTATTCAGCAGCCAGCGCATCATATTAATTAGCTTCCCGAGAGTCTCCTCCTCACTCAGCATACATCCTCCCCACTCTCCCCCAGGTGTCTGACTTAGTTAGTAGATGTCGCTGACATGCTTTGATCGCCCTCCATTAGGGCCGTCATGTCGTCCTCGGTCAGCTTAATGGACAATAATGTAGTGTATAATTTGGTAACATCTAGAAGATAGGTCAGATTTAATCTTATCTTCATAATAGAAGGAGACATAAAATCATTACTATTTGGAGCCATTTCATTAGTATTTTTACTCGATTAGACAATAGAAGCCGCAAAATACTTTCAATAATCCAGCGAAATCTATATTGTATGATTCTGACTTTATCATAAGCATGTGTCCATGAATCAGTATCCAATAGTGAAGACACCAGGTGGTCGGGGAGATTTCCTTTGATGTGATTATCTTGGTGATGTGAGTTGCATCTACAATCTACAATCAAGGATGTTAAAATGTTAATGAGTTTCAGTGTTTAACTTTGAGTGATATTCATGCTTTAGACTAGGCAAGGTAAGGTATTATCAAAGTGTATTTGATGGAATAATAAGCATGTTTATTCTGTCAAATGCACTAAGATGGTATAAAAATCTTATATGCTTGGATATGAGGTGATTGCTAAAGGTAGCCATAATATCAATGCATAATTATTCAAATGAATGATCACTGTTGTAGTGTCTTTGGTAAGATTAAGATATACCTTCACTCAAAATGTCCTTATCTGCAAAGGAGTGAGTGAGTGAGTTTGCTTTTATGCCGCTTTTAGCAATATTCCAGCAATATCACGACGGGGGGCACAAGAAATGGGCTTCACACATTTTACCAATGTCGGGAATCGAACCCGGGTCTTCGGCGTGATGAGCGAACGCTTTAACCACTTGGCTACCCGACCGCCCCTTTCATCCGCAAAGGACAACCTCATAGATTGATATCTGATTTTGGATGTTATTAAAATTTAATGTAATTATTTTCATAGAAGCTGGTAATGGAATTGTCAGCAAATTACCCTAACTGGTTTCTAATGATCTAGTTTTCATATCTGATGAATAGTTTGGATGTTATCAAAGTATTATAAGTTGTAGCAGGATCACGAGGGGTCCCGCATATAAAACCTAATGAGGAATACATGAAACACCATGTACCCTGAGTAGTCCTGCTACAATGAATGTATCTTACTGAATGTTTAAATATGACATTCTAAAATAATTCAAACAAATTCAACATTGATGGAAAACAGCTTTTCAATTGAGCTGATGTTAGCTTGTGATGTCACGTGACTTCCAATGACTCGGAAAAAGTGTGCGGCTTTTTGCTTTGAAGTGGGGCATAAGGGTTTTATTCTGCCTCTCAGAAATCCACATGTAGTCTGTGTTGCTCGTGGCGGGGTATAAAAGATTTATTTCCCCTTTGAGAAATTTATTCCCCTCCAAGGTGGGATAGACAGTATTTTATCAAAATCACTTAGACCAATCAGATCTCATCATTCTGACATGGAGGTATGATAAATTATGATTATTTTCATAGAAGCTGGTATTGAAAATGTCAGAAAATTACACTTACTGGTTTCTAATGATCTAGTTTTCATAATGTAAAACCTAGGAGAGCTTGGAGCCAGTACGCACTACATCTGCAGGGGACAGGGGATGCAATTTCCTGGTTAATCACATACCGGTAAGACTCATATGATCAGAGGGGAAACAGGGCCTCATTGTGGTGACACGTGGTCCAGTGTACAGTGCACAGGTCACAAACCAGGTGAAATTAAGCAACAGTGGTTGGGGAGAATCCTTGGATAGGTGACTCTGTTTGGCAACTTTGCTCCTGAGAATTTATAGGGCTTTGGTCCTGCCCCTTATTGGTTGATTGGTTGGTTTGTTGTTTAATGCCGCACTCAGCAATATTCCAGCTATATGACGGCGGTCTGTAAATAATCGAGTCTTGACCAGACAATCCAGTGATTGATATCATGAGCATTGATCCACGCAATTGGAATCGATGACATGCATCAACCAAGTCAGCGAGCCTGACCACCCGATCCCATTAGTCGCCTTTTACGACAAGCATAGTCGCCTTTTATGGCAAGCATGGGTTGCTGAAGACCTATTCTTATTGAAGCACATGTAACAAATGTGGTGTCTCCTTGGGCAAGTGACTTTGCTCAAATTATGCTGCTGTTCACGCTGCAGTGAATGGATACCCAGTAGGATTAGATGGTAATATCACTGTTCACCTTCTAGAGCCTCACAGGCAGCTAGGGTTGTATGCTCCCCAGGGAGTTGAAAATGAAAAATTGAGTGCTCACTGATCTATTTTTAACGGGGTAATAATACAGCTTTTAAGGTATACATTGCAGATGAAGTTATGAGTTTTACAAGCGGACTACTATCATTATTATCATTGCTTATCAGTCATTTTATGGTACAAGTTGTAGATGTGGAAACAGTGCCCTCCCTACCACTCACTGGTTCAATTCATTGTCACATGGTTTCACATAGTGTTTCCAAATTTGACTGGTGACAGCCTTTTTATCACATCCCAAATTGAATAAATGATTTTGAATATATGTAACTATTTTAAGTTCACCAGGACTGACAGTCCAAGTGTGGAATGGTGTGCTGACCATCATTTATCCATATGTCTGTTTGTTAACTTTTGATTTCCTCATGGAGCTGCCCGATGAGGCTGAAAGGATATGAGGTTTTCTGGAACCATAACAGGACTCAAATTTGTACAGAAGCCTTTTAGGGCCATTTGTTTTGGTTTTTTTCTTCTTGAAATTTCAAGTTATCATCTAGAAATTTCAACTTAGTATGTATATTGAAATTTCAACTTATTATCTTTAAATTTCAACATAACATCTTGAAATATCAAATTAGTATCTTGAAATTTCAAGAAAAAAATAAAATAACAAATGGCCCTAAAAGGCTTCCGTACATATTTGTTCATGGTGTTGAAATAAAAAATAGGCAATTCTTTTATATGAAAAAAAAAATCATTCTAGGAAATATTTAAGAATCTTCTTCTCAGGCACCACAAAGTCCATGTATCTCAAACTGTGATGTGATGTATAGCAGCAAAAACTTCCTAGAAAAAAGTATACATTTGAAAGTTTCATTTAACTTAAAATTACAACTACAAATTACGTTATTAAAACATTACTTGGCGGAAAACAGTCGCAGAAAAACTGCAGTTTTAAGGTCCAAAACATAACTATGCTTCCCGTATTAAACACATCACCATCCAACAATTTTGTTTTCTTGTTTGTGTCATTTATATAGCCACCATAAAAAATAGGTGTATTCTTTCTTTTGCACTGCAGTGTAATTGGATTGAGACCTGTCCATGACTTTGTTGATGTTACAGAAAGGAGATATCTAACATCTCCGAAATTGCTTGACCAAATGAGCTGATACTTAAATGAATGTTTGTCATACTCTCAAATAGACAACATTGCAAAACAAATGAACAGCTGCACTCACCTTACTTGATCAGGCTACAGATTTCACCACCTTGACTTGCCTTGTGATCACATGATACTAAGAAACCAAATCACAGAAATGAACGTCTGGCCTTCAGTGTGCCCCCAAAGTCCTATGCATCTATGTCCAGAGTTATATTGGCCTTTCCTCTTACTTTAAGTTGATACACTGTGAAATAACTGACATGCTGTTCAAAACTGGGTTGAACACAACTCACTCACTCTTGTTACAAACACGTCAAAAATCCTCTCACGGAGACAATGTGTTCTTTGGGAGAAAAAAAGCTACCGTATCTGCTTGTCAAATAGTTCTGTTTTTATATTTACAGATCATTCAAACCTGACTTCCTGCTAGTGAGACAACATGTCCGAGATGCACATGAGGACTGGAGGAACCTGTTGCTAGGCTTCCAATATGGCGGAGTGCCTAGTGTTAATGCCCTCCACTCTCAGTACCAGTTCTTGGACAAGCCATGGGTGGTACGTAATGCAGGAGGGAGGGCCCCCTCTAAGTTCCAAAGATGACCTGTCTTTGTCAACTTGCTGATGGCGTGTTATCTTTTGTAATAGTTTTGGTTGGAATGTCAGGACATGCCACATCAGTTTGTCTGAGTTTTTGACAGGTTATTTGAAGAGAGGGTCACTTTCTGTCCTCCAGTATTTACAAACTCTGGGATCTCAGTTAAAAGTCTTCATGAAAAGCATTGGTTTAAGTAATTATAAATGCTTCGATGAGTGCTATCACAAAACATCTAGGGTCTCCTTGAATGTCCAGACTTTTCAGTTGAAACAGAATCCAAAGCATTGCCATCTGTCGTTATGATCTTCAGGATCCCTTTGAATGTCCAGACTTGAGTTGAGAATCAAAAGCAATACTATCTGTCGTTATGATATTCAGGATCTCCTTGAATGTCCAGACTCGACTTGAGAATCAAAAGCAATACTATCTGTCGTTCTGATATTCAGGATCTCCTAGAATGTTCAGACTCAGAGTTGAAACAGAATCAAAATGATTGCTGTGTTTCATGTGGCAATTTAATGTCTCAAACAAATTATTCATCATTAAGTTGAGAATAAGATAGCACAGACACTATGATCTCTCTTCAAAGCACTTCTATTTAAGTATCAAAAGATAAAGAAGTTGGTATGGTTTGATCATGTGTGTAAATGAAGATTATTGACACTAATAATTCCTCACCATTACTTTCGGTTTTATAAGGAGTCGTTCTTACCGATGAATTGCTATGTATATCACGATATTTCCTGAAAATGTCAGTCACGAGAAGTGATCAGTAAAGCCTTGGAAATCACCAAATGTCTATGACCAGCCTCTTTTCTTCCACCCTCACAAAGTTGACATGCCACGATATAGAGGAAATACTATTCAGAGCAGTGTAAAACAACTCACCCCATCTCCATTTCAGTTTGCCCATTTGATAATGATACAGAAAAGGCTGGGAAAGGAGATGTTTCCACTGATTGAGCAAGCTTACTACCCTAACCACAAGGAAATGGTGAGTAACCTCTGGGTGAGTTTCACATCTTCTCCTTCTCTTCTCTAAAACAGCAGGGGCTGCAGAACCACCTCCCTCTGTCTCCCACCACCACACATACTGCACAGCAGCTAGGACACCAACTTTGTCAGGAGGGTACAGTTCGTAAGGCAAGAGTAACAATCAGTGGTCGTTTTTACCTGAAAATGTTAAGCTGTGACTTGGTTGAAATGTTGCATTATTACAGATTAGTTAAATAAGCACCAATTTATTGTCAAATATATTGTCACCATGTTGCAAAACGAACATATTTCTCAGAAGTTTTTTTCATGGCTTATAAATATGTAACAGAAACATTTTTTCTATATTTATGAGCAGCAGAACCTGTCCCATTGTAATCTATGGTGTTAATGTTTTTTGTATTAGGCCACACCTTTTTTACTTGCTTTACTGATGCGCTGACCATAAATGTTGTTGAATTGGGAAAAAAATAAATCAGAATTTGTTCTCTTTTTTTATCCTGCTGATAGCATATTGCACCAAAAAATATCTTCTAAAGAAGTACCCACTGAACATATATTGAACATGGGAGTCAAAATTGTTCTTTTCCCTGAAATTGATAGGATGATGCATAGATGCACAACAGTATTCCGGCTTGATTGATCAGGTTTGCATTGCTTAAAGCAACAGCTTTATTGCAGGCTACTCCCCCCCCCCCCCCCCCGTTTGACCATTTTTTTTTTTATACTTGTTTTATATTTTTTTATTATATTATATTATTTTTATATCATATTATTTTTATATATATTTTTTTTTTGCCGATCTGTAGTGGTGCTGGAAACTTAAAAAAAAAATTACTTCTTTTTCTTTGTCAACTCCTGAAAGGTATCTTCCCGTAAAAATCTGTAAAGTTAAAAAAACAACTCTTGCACTGGATACTGGAACTACTGTATTCCTTACAGACTGTAATAGTACCAACTGATTATCTACAGATATATGATGATTTAATTTTTGATGATCAAATTCATTGTATATCACACTTTCATGAGATAGTTGATCATCAAGTTTGTGCTATTTCTGCATATCCTGAACTGCTGAACTATGAGCAGAGCTGATGTTTCTGCACAAACTGGTGTTGTAGTTGCAGCCTATGTATGTGCAGTGGTGTGGTGGACTGAGGCTGATGGCTGCTGCAGCTCTCACTCAGATTACATCCTCAACCCCAAGAGAGCTTACTTCCGTAACTGTTCGTGTTTCATTAAATACGACTCTATGCAGTCTCAAACAGACCCTCATTCAGATTAATACTGTTGTATATTCAATGGTGTTTAAAACAAAATATGTTATTTAGAAGATTGAATTTGATTCCTCTTTTTTACTCACTAGAACCAATGGTTTGTGTGAGCTAATGTCATGGTCTCTTGTCCAATGCCTGTCTCTTCATTGTCAGCCCGTGGTGAACTTTGCGATGCCTACATGCCCTCTAGCCTGATGCTGTGGCTCAGTCAAATATACAAGGTTGGCGCAGACTTCAGAAGGCCATGGAATTGGCAGCCTACTTTGATAAGGGCTTTGATTTGAATCTGTCTTGAAAAGGTCTTAAAATGATGTAAACTGTTTTGCAAAGACCTTGATTGGTCAACAATTGTTAATTATTAATTATTGTTAGAATTATGTTTTCTTTAAATAATGTATAATGACATCGTTTAACAAGAGATTAACCCCTACTCAAACAATAACACTGGTAAGTGACCTTGAAAGGTCCATATTGCCTTGAAAAGGCCTAAAAAAGGCCTTAAATTTGGTGGCCCAAGTTTTGTATGAACCATGCCATATCCAGGAGGCTAACTAAGACAGTCATGTCAGTATTTAACACTTTGTGATCTCCATTAAATTGATTCAAATGCACATCAGAGGCTTGCTAGCTTAAAAAGTCAGGCAATGTATTATTTGTAGTTTATGTATCATGGCAACTCTTGTCAAAGTACAGTGGCAGTGGGGAAAAAGGTCAGTGACATATTTCTTTCTGTATGTTTCCGCCTGTCTGATGGGGCATCTGTGTAGATTCTCACGTACTATATTTTAGGTGGTCAGACTCTTTGACTTGGTTGATTTAATATCACCAAACCCTGGCAACATGGATCATTGCTCATAATATCAATCACTGGATTGCCTGGTCCAGACTCAGTTATTGTTTGTTCTAGGGCTGGGACGAGTCCAAATTTACTACCCGGGTACCCACCCCCCTATTACCCGACCCTACCCGGGTACTCGCTGTAGGTCTCAAGGGGTAGGTACAAACTGTCCGATTGGGAAAAGTTTGACCATAGCTGTGATAAAATGTGTTTAGATACATGTATGAAACGATCTGGTGTATACACTGAAGTTGACTGAAGTTTTATTTTTATTCAAACATATAAAAGTCAGAAGGAATGGGCGTAGTCGTCAGGAAGAACTGCGAACATTAGTGACTTGTAGTTTAAACATAGTTTTAGATACTTTTTGTCATTAAACAATATATCACGTGACTAACCACGGGTCCGGGTAGTCCTGTGGGTACCCGGGTCCTACTCAGTACCCACCCGACCCGAGTACCCGAGTTACCCATCCCAGCCCTAGTTTGTTCTGCTGTCACACAGCTGGAATATGTATACACTGCTGTCGCAAGCTCCATCGTTCATACAGTTTGGCCCTCACTCTGTGAAGGTTCAATAATACTCCAATGAATTGACATAAGGTGAAGGTCAACACTTACCGGGGTAATTGATGGTCTCTAGGTATTGATGTTGGTACCAATACTTTGATATACAGTATTCGACGTAATAAGCGCCCAGGGCGCTCTCGAAATTAGAAATAGGTGGCTCTTATTAGAATATTATTTTGGTGAAAAAAACAGAGTTGAAAGATAAATTTCGTGGTTTATGCTGACAGCCTGAAGTGTTTATGTACGACAGATATATTTTTCCAGAATTTAATTGCCCATAATTAAGGGTGCATATAACACACGAGTGCGTATTATACGCGAATAATGAAGTCTTGTGTACATTGATCAATCGGAAGGGGTGCTAATTGGGATTGTTCACTAGCCAATATATTCGCAAATGTTGCCGTGGGCGCTTATTAGAGCGGGGCGCTTATTACGTCGAATACGGTATTCATTAATAACTTGTCAGTATGTGGTTGTTCTTTAATAATCATTTGGACTATGCTATCACTGTCTGGGTAATATCTAATAAAATTGACAGTCCTAGACTCTAGGTGAGCTACAGAGCACCAATGGCCTTTTTTCCCAAGTTTATTTATTTACATATTAAGATGATATTGTATATTGTTTCCCTGTTTTAGGCTGTTATATCCTTGCATGATACCATGATGTACCATATTTTCTTGAGTATGGTGCTCACCCGAGTATAATGCACAACCCCCTCAAACAGATTCAGTATTTGGAAAAAAATAATTGAATATTATGTGCAGAAAAAAATTACAACGTATCCCTTCAGCGAATTCCGGTAAACGAACGGGTGATGAGAAACTTGGTCAGTACAAATTTTAAATTAGAGATAAAAAAATCACCAGACATGTTGACTTACCATTTAAATTGTATTTTTTGTTCTGCTAGGCATTGTTTTACATCCAGGAATTAAGATTGCCTTGTGTATTTTCTCATAAACTAAGCCAGAAACAACAATCAGCTGTACACACGTTTTCTTGGAATTTACCGGTGATTGGGTCAAGACACACCCAATGATATAACTTTACAGGATTTTAATGCAAGGATCGGCAAAAATTGTATCTGAAACTATTTTTTTTATCAGGAATGATATATTCCAATATCTTGTTATTTTACTTGCAGCTTTTACTAAATATATTTAAAATAATTATAACCCTAAGTGAGCAGCTGATCGCTATTGCCTGTTATTATTTGTCACATGGAACCAGTTTGACCAGTCACCGTCAAGGCTCCCACGCACATGATCGCGAGAACTGCCTGTTGACATAGAATCATCAAACTATAACAAGTATGACTTTTAATGAGTCAAAGTATGGCATTTAAGATATATGTATCCATTCTCTGTCAACTAAAGTTCATTTCAAGGTGTCAATAGCGGTAATCTGATCATGGTTGCTGTTCATAATGGTGAGTTGTGCGATCTTCTGATAGCTTCACACATGATTTTGCTAAAATTAATTAATAACAATATTAATTGATAACAATATTAAAAAGAATTTTTAATAAAATATATTAAATAAGTTACAAACATAAGTCCAGATATACAAAGAACACTTTTTATAGCCAGACTGTGTAATTACATGATTAATTTGAGTACTTCAGTATGGATTTGTTGACATGGTATTTCCGGTGTTACTTGTTCACGGCAATGTCTTTCCGTTGGGGAAAAAAACATCAAAACTCATAATTGCTTGTATAATGCGCACCCTCTTCTACACAGCTGTGTTGTTGTTTTTAAAAAGTGTGCAATATACTCAAGAAAATATGGTAATCAAGATTTTTTCTCTATCATGTCATACTGACTGACATATCCTTGCATGATATCATGATATAGCAAACGTATTTCCCTATGGTGTCATATTGACTGACATATCCTTGCATGATACCTTAATGTAATCAATAGTATTCCCTATTGTGTCATATTGACTGACATAGTCTTGCATGATACCATGATGTAATCAATATTATTTCCCTATCATATCATATTGACTGACATATCCTTGCATGATACCATAATGTAATCAAGATTATTTCTCTATTGTGTTATATTGACTGAAATATCCTTGCATGATACCATGATATAACAAAAGTATTTCTCTATCATGTCATAGTATCTGACATATCCTTGCATGATACCATGATGGAATCAATATTTTTTCCCTATCATATCATATTGACTGACATATCCTTGCATGATACCATAATGTAATCAAGATTATTTCTCTATTGTGTTATATTGACTGAAATATCCTTGCATGATACCATGATATAACAAAAGTATTTCTCTATCATGTCATAGTATCTGACATATCCTTGCATGATACCATGATGGAATCAATTTTATTTCCCTATCATATCATATTGACTGTCATACCCTTGCATGATACCATGATGTACCGGTAATCAATATCATTTCCCTTTGATGTCATATTGACTGTCATACCCTTGCATGATACCATGATGTACCGGTAATCAATATCATTTCCCTTTGATGTCATATTGACTGTCATATCCTTGCATGATACCATGATGTAATCAATATCATTTCCCTTTGATGTCATATTGACTGTCTTATCCTTGCATGATACCATGATGTAATCAATTTTATTTCCCTACCATGTCATATTGACTGTCATACCCTTGCATGATACCATGATATAACAAGATTATTTCCCTGCCATGTCATACTGACTGACATATCCTAGCATGATATCATTATATACCACAATTATGTCCTTATCATGTCATGTTGACTGACATAGCCTTGCATGATATCATGATATACTAATGAATTAATAGCTAATGTATTTTTGCATGATATCACATGAGTCCCAGACCATTTATCTTTTCATGCCATGTAGGATGATGATATGTGATATACCAAGGTTATTTCCATATTGGCTGATATCTCCTTGCATGGCATCATGATAGCAAGGTTATTTATTTATCTTTATAGGTTGATATAACCTTGCATGAGGTCAAAACATAGTTTGCTATCATGTAATATATGCTGAGATCCACTCATGGTTCCATAATACCATGGTTATATATCCTGGTCATGTAATGTTATAAGGCTTGCATGATACAATGGTCTATTAAGATTATTACTCTATTATGATAACCTTGCATGATATCAAGATGTTTTTTCCTATGATGAAATAAAGGCTTATATATGCTTGTGTGATACCAAAACTTATAATTTCTGTATCATGCACTGCTGGTTGATACATCTCAGCATGATGCCAAGATGATCTCTCTAACCTGTAATATTTAAGCTGGTACATCCATGCATGACAACAAGATTATTTGACGATCATGCATTATGACCCGATATATCCATGCATGATGCTATGCTTATCTCACTGTTATGCATTATGGACAGAATATATCCTTGCTTGATACAAAGATTATTTCTCTATCAGGATTTATGAACAGATATATATTTGCATGATACTAAGAATATTTCTCTATCATGCATTATGGACAGATGTATCCTTGCATGACACCAAGATTATTTCTCTATCATGCATTATGGACTGATATATCCTTACATGTTACTAAGAATATTCCTCTATCATACATTAGTGACAGATATATGCTTGCATGATACTAAGAATATTTCTCTATCATGCATTATGGACAGATATATCCTTGCATGATACTAAGAATATTCCTCTACATCATGCATTATGGACAGATATATCCTTGCATGATAATAAGAATATTCCTCTACATCATGCAATATGGACAGATATATCCTTGCATGATAATAAGAAGATTCCTCTATCATGCATTATGGACAGATATATACTTCCATGATACTAAGAATATTCCTCTATCATTCAATATGGACAGAATATATCCTTGCCTAATACATATATTTTTTTCTCTATCAAGATTTATAGACAAATATAACCTTGCATGATACCAAGATTATTTCTCTAAAATGTTAACCTTGCATGATACCATGAATTCATTATTAAGTGATATGACACTACATGACATATTGTTTTCATATTTCTTATGATTTGTAGTCACCATGTTTTTGTCCAACATTGTTACCAGAAAAGCTCTCTTGGGATTGTGTTTTAATTGTAATATATCATCACCGGAGTTATTAAAGATTTAACAAACTTGAATGTTACGGAAACTGTTTGGAGTTGAGAAGCAGTGAAACAACCATTGTTTTGGCAAATCATTCCTACTCGTACCTCACAATTGATGTGTTTTGTGACAGTCTAAACTATGGCACACCTGGTGATTTGTCTGTTATGAAATCATCCATTTATAGCATGTTTTCACACACACTGACAACAGAATTGGTTTGTTTATATTTTTCCGTATTTTTAGTATTTATGATTTGAAATCCAATATTTAAGTGTCAATCATTCCTACTTTCAAGTAGCATCAGAAAAAGGGAGATAACTCTGTCATGAATAGTTTCACTTTGGATTAGAACAATTTTGTTGCTTGGTATGAATGTGAACTAGCTTTATGGTTACTTAATGTTAGATATTTGTTGATATTGTGATTTGATAGTTTTTATCTTGCTTGTTTACAACCCGTTATGCTATGATTAGGAGATAAATATTGTTGTGTGTTTTCAATTTAGCGGTTTCAATCGTAGATTCAATACCTGTAAATTTCATTCAAAATCAAACGTAATAGCGTGAGGTTTTGAATTTGAAATAGTTACTTGTAGCAAATCTATGTTTGAAACCTCTACATTGAAAACACACCAGATTTATCTCCCTTCTACCATGACAAAATGACAAAACAAATGCGAACTCTTTAGCTATAGCAAAAATGATTAGTGATATGGCATCGGTTGAGCCTATTATTTTCAGAAGGATAAAAGGGCAAATTCAGGGATCATCGAAGAACGGTTTTAATCTGCATACATGTTTTGCATTTTATCCCCAAAATATAACTTTCACCATAACACTTGAACAACTTCAAAAAGACACAATAAATTCGCATAGTCAGATGTCTTGTAAGCATTATTCAAACTGACATCCCAAGAGAAAAGAAAGCGACCTTTGTGATGTTTTGTTCTAAACTAGACACCACTATCATAAAGTCATAAAGTTCTAAAGAAGGGCAGACGAAGCATTGTGACACAATGTAATAGTGTAGCACCAAATGCCAAGCTGTGTTGATGATACTGAATTTTACAATACTTTCTCTATGTATTTGTTCTTCAAGTTTTCCGTCTGAAATATATTGTTACACGTGATGTAAATAATGTATGATCTACAACACGTTAATTAACAATATCAAAGAAGTGAGATCTTTATTTAAACTTTAAAAAGTGCTTCTGAATATATATTTTCTTTCGCAGTTAATGCCCTCATCAGCAAGATCATTGTCTAATGTAGATTAAAGTGATACCTCTGGCAAAACATTCAGAATGCAGGATTCTAAAATGTCATGGTAGAATGTTGATGTGGCTGATTGTTTATTGTCACGACACTTGTCGTTTTATGCTTTTCTATTCTAACTACGCAATATTTGCCTTTTTCACTTTTATTACATGTTTGATATTTTTATGCCAGTTTTCATATGATCTTTTATATTTACTTTTATGATAATCCTTATTTATTATACATATGATGTACATTTAAAGGTCATACTTTCACATAACAGTAGCAGTTTTAGAAATGTGGTGATTGTCACCTTTTCCTATGTTCATAATGTTAGCTCTGGCAACTCGGTGAAATACCACAAGCTCCATTAGCCAACATTTAAGATGTTATACACAATTAAACTTGTTACAAACTTTTCTGTATTTCAAAATAATTTCTCCAGTGTTACATATGGCAAACTTATCCAAATAAGGAACAACTAACAAGAACTAAAATAAATAAACACCTGAATGCTCTTGTTAATTTACATTGTCATTTTATGTTGACAAAAATACAAATTGCTGCTAAGTGTTGTTAAATCGCAAGATGGAATGAATAATGTCCTTGAAAGATCAAATTTCTAGATAGGAGTGTGTTTCAGTAATAAGACCATTGTCCCACACACATAATATTCATTTAGAGTTACATTTAAGTGGCAAATGACTTGACCGCTTTTATACTAACTGTTTTCTCAGCTTGTACTTTTCTAGAATAAACAACACACCAAGATAAGGTATTCTTACTGTTACATGTTAGTTGCTGATTAAATTTAGAGTTACTTGGGCACTTTGTTTAATAGAATGGCAACATGTTTTTTCTAAGAGAGGTAAAATATGGACAGATTAACAGAAAATGATGGTACTTGTTGCTCTGAATGGCGCTTGGCATTAAGGGGATAAAACAAGGACTGGTTGGTTCGGAGTCAGGATGCAGTATCTGAGTGTTGTGTCCATGTCATGTTGTTAGGAAATTTATGATTATATCAAAAGATGTTTGTTGTTTAATGCCGCACTCAGCACTATTGCAGCTACAGTCAAATCTCGTGAATCTGACACTCGTTAATCCGACAATCGGCTTTATCCGACACAAATGATGGGAAACGATTTAATCAGTGCTATTTAGACCCGTTAATCCGACAGTCTCACACTCCGACTCCGACACACCTAATTTGCGACGATTTGCTGAAATCACTCATTAATCAGTCTTGTTAATCCGACACAGTGATCAGCGTACTCCGTGGTCATCTGTCCGCGAGTACACAGCCCCGTGTTTTGTTGCGAGACTAGTGGGTGAGTAGCTGCATATTTCAATGGCTGCAGTGGTTAAACTTTAGTGGTTGCATGATTAGAAAACATATTCCGCTGACAATGTAACACAACAATATGAATATTTCATTTTTCCTTTTCCAACGTGTTCGTTTTATTATCTATCATGTAGTTGTCCAATTTTCGATCACGAACGTTTATACTACCTAATTTCATACTCGTTAATCCGACATAATCATATGCAACCAACAATGTCGGATTAACGGAACTTGACTGTATATAATTGTCATTATACAAATGAATCTGGACTAGACACACCAGAGATTGACATCAAGCACACAGGTCCACATAATTTTGATTCAGTGACATGCAAACAAACAATTCAATAACCTTAAACCCCTTTTTACCCTTTCTCACCTCCACAATAGTGTATTGGGATACAAATGTACCTCGGATAGAGTATAGCAATACATTTTATATCATGTAGTTCATATATCAAGAGAAAGTAAATACAACCTTTGTAAAAAATTAAACTTTATTCAGCAATAAATTGCATTCACATTTAAACAACGGGAAGCAACCACAGTTGACGTCACAGGAAACAGCTGATCACATGTTTTTGCAAATGGTGAACGGAATAACTCGCTGTTACAGTTGTTTATTTGCCTCTTTCAATAAAGGTAGATACTTGTTCACTATCAATTTATGAACTTTGCAAAACGTACGTAATAGCTATTGGCGATTTCATCTGTGGATTATATATTATAGCTGTGGATTACATGTATTGTTACATGTAAAGATTGTGGAGTTTATGAAGAATGATAAACTTTGAACATTCAATTTAAAACTTATTATCGGAAGTAGTAACATGCATAACATTTTTTTAATAATGACAACATTGGTGTATAATAATAACTTTATTGATAATTTATAACAATAATGGTTCTAGTTGTGGCAACTTCCAAATTTTCGGGAAGTTGTAATATATCGGACCGTCATTCAGGCGATGTTTCTGACAGATCACGATCTGAAAAATACTATCATGAAAGTGTATCCCGTGCATAAGCCGATTCTACAGAATCTTTTTTCTGGTCCTCAAAATTCAGCTTATCTGCGGACATATACGGTATTGTACAATATGTCAAGCACACATTTTTACTGTATTTACATTAATTATAGTTTCCTCATTAAATCACACTTTATTCTTTTTTTTTCAGATTATTATCAAACATAGTGTGTCAAAACAAAATATGATATTGTATTCAACATATTAAACACCCAGGGCACATAAACATGTCTAATTATTGATGCTAAAGACTACTTTTTATAATTTTGATAAGGTTAAAATTCTAAATGCCCTAGTTTTGATAAAACCTTCTCAAACCTTGTGATGTGAAGATCTTGATCTGTTTTGTTTATAAAAGACGCTTGGATGTGTTTTCAAAACATTCCATTGGATGGGAACATGATGCTTAAAATGTCATGCATGACAAAACCACCTTTTAGTCGTAACAGACCAACTGATCATTATAACATTAGAATGTGTTTATTTGTCTATTTTTTATTAGAGAAATAAAGTGATCAACTAATTTAATTAAAATATCAAAAAGAAGTTTTTTTTCTCCATTGTTCCAAATATTTGTTTCCATAGAGCCATATAACCAAGAAATGTAAACAAATATGGCCTTTTGTGTGTAGTCAGCAGCTATTATCTTGAAGAACCTTGCACTTACATGTCCATGGCAAATTCTGACTTATGATTGGCTAATCATCGATATGTTGCTCTGTCCAATCAGAGCCAGCATGCTCGGTCATGATATACTTTTGTGACATGACACATGACAGGAGTCATGGTAAGCAAGTATGTCCTTTGTTCGTGTATTACTCATTCACATCATACATGATAAGCAGTCCATTAATCATATAAAACACTTCATATGTACACTAATCAAACCAAACAGCCAACACATCAACATTTTCACAAAGTCACCAAGTGTGGATTTGCTGGCACCATGTCATCACTGCAGAGCAAGTCAGTAGCACATTCACCATTTTGACCAGTCCAGGTTTTTCTGTCTTAACATTGGCTACAAAGCTATGATGCCATTCACACACATCGTTTGTGATGAAACAGTGGTACTTGACCTTGATTTTGATTGGCTATGCAAACATTTCTTGTTTCCGATCGGCTGATCAGCATGTCAGGTTTGGAAACTTTCGGATCGTGCGTCTTTGAGGTTTTGGTATCCATCTCCATGACAGGGCGATGTGACTGCACAGCTGAGTCCATAATGTACCATCTTCCCTGACTTCTCCTGTAATAGGAACATATTCAAATAAACATAGAGAAACTCATTGCCACCCTTATGGATTCCAGGATGGAATTGGTCCAAAGGAACATAAGAGGTCATAATATATCAGGTGATAAAGCTCAATGATTGCTTGATTGCAATATCAACTTGATTGACTGTTACAGACTGTTGTTTACAATCTGCTGTCATAATTAGATGAAATATTGCTGGCATGAAAAAAGGATGAAACAGCTGATGAGGGGGTCACCCAAATTTGTAAAACATATCAATGACTCAGTGCTATTTTTTTCAAATAAAAAAATAATTTTATTTTTTTTAGGGATTTAGGAACTGGTCTCTATTATGGGGATATGGGCATGGGGATAGGGGGTTGGGGTCATGAAATATGTTGCATAAAATGGGGGGTTACATCAAATGAAAGAAGTATACTCCATCCTCTATTATCCAGGGAGTTATATCTTCATTTCATAATGATTAATACCCTGGACCCATTCATCACCATAGCTTGTTTCAGAAGTATAGGGGGGCATGGGTGGCCCAGTCGTCTAAGGCGCTGTGCAGAGTTGCGTCCCTTGGGCACGCCAGTAACCTATGATTGTGGGTTCGAATCCCGGTTCTAGGTTTGTCAGCACCATACCCGTGCTCATGGGTTTCACCGAAGTGATAAACGTCTGAGACCTGCATCACTTCGGGCTTTCCTCCCACATTAAGCTGACACGCCGCGATATAACTGTAATACTGTTAAAAGCGGCGTTAAACCCAACTCACTCACTCACTCACTCAGAAGTATAGCGAATAGGACCACAGTATTTATCATACCAGAATGAAGATTTAACATTGGATGATTAACTTCTTATTTCGTAAAATATGTTTTGTTATCTAGTAACATAACATGGTCTAAGCTATGAGCATGATGAGATTGGAACACATTGTAGTCATGGCAACTAGTATCGAATAATAAGAGGACTTTACCTGTGATGAAGATTGGCCTGTGTGTCTGTTGATGTTGTTGGCCATATGATTGTCTACCAGGGTTTATACCACAGAGTCCGTCACTCTCCCAGGAGCTCACTGTGATCTCAGTCTCATTACCCAGGAAACTTGGCATCTATGTCATAAACATTGATGTTCTTTATACAAGAAATAAGACATGAGACATGAGAGTCACACCTTATTAAGAGAATAACATCAGAGACTTATGGAACTATGGATCATCAGTTGGGGTGAATTAATTTTGACTGTTCTGAGCCATGTAAATACTTTCAACAAATGAATGAGTAACGAATGAGTAAATGAATAAATAAATTCCACCATTTTACCATTACAAGATCATCGTTCATGATCATGGGGGGTACTGTATGATGGATAGACTAGGTTTGGGTAGATGGGTGGTAGGTAGGGCAATTTACTACCCCGGTACCCACCCCCCTATTACCCGACCCTACCCAGCTACCCGCTGTAGATCGCTGTTGAGTCAAGAGGTAGGTAAAAACTCTGAGATTGGGAAATGTTTGACCGTAGTTCTGGCAAAGTGTATTTAGAAACACTTATAAAACGATCTGGTCATGCATACCCTGATGTTTACTGCATGAAGTTTTATCTGTTTTTCAAACATATACCATATTCGACGTAATAAGCGCCCACTCTAATATGCGCCCGCGGCGATATTTGCTAATATATTGGCAAGTGAACAATCCCAATTAGCATCCCTTCCGATTGATCAATGTACACAAGATTTATTCATTCGTGTATAATACGCACTCGTGTGTTATATGCACCCTTAATTATGGGCAATTAAATTCTGGAAAAATATATCTGTTGTATATAAACAGTTCAGACCGTCAGCATAAACCACGAAATTTATCTTTCAACTCTGTTTTTTTTCCAACCAAAATAATATTCTCATAAGAGCACCCAATTTCTTATTTTGAGAGCGCCCTGGGCGCTTATTACGTCGAATACAGTACATATCAGAAGGAATGCGTGCATGGTCAGAAAGAAATGGGAACAGTGACTTGTAGTGTGACCATAGAGTTTTAGATAAGTTTTGTCATTAAACAATATATCACGTGACTAACCACGGGTCCGGGTAGTCCTGTGGGTACTTAAAACTTAAATGAAAATAATCTAAGCAACAAGCAGTGACAGAATATTGACAAACAGATTGTTTTCAACATTCCAGTCATTGATTGGACTGCTGTCACAGCTGTATCGGGAGTGATGGGGGTAACAGACAATTCAGTTATACTAGGTATCACAGCCTTCACTGAGGCAAATGTTTAAACAGTAACTAAAGGGAGACAACTTTCAATGACAACTTTCTCAGTTACTACCAAATCAGAAGGACTTCTTTGAGAGATATTTAGAGTGATTGAGTATGGTTTTACGCCGCTTTTAGCAATATTCCAGCAATATCATGGCGGGGGACACCAGAAATGGGCTTCACACATTGTACCCATGTGGGGAATTGACATTGTCTTCGGTGTGATGAGCTAACGCTTTAACCACTAGGCTACCCGACCGCCCCGATGCATTTGGAGTTCTTAGTAAGGATAAGATATATGGATGTACAACTTCTTACTGTATACCGCTGTATATAAATCGACTCAAACGAATGTAAACAATATTGAATAAAATTTTGAATAACATTAATTGAATAGATTACAAACATAAGTCCAATTATACAATGAACACTTTTTATAACCAGACAGTGTAATTACATGATTCATCTGCATATTTCAATACAGATTTGGTGACGTGGTATTTCCAGCGTTACATGTTCACAGTAAAGTATTTGTGTTGGGCAAAAACATCAACACTCTTCAACCCTAGTATAAGACGCCCCCCTTGAAAGCCCCCTAATTCTAGGTACGAAAAACTCGCCTTATACACAGCGACATGCAGTCGTTACAATTAGGAGCAATGTTCCTGTGTAGGTTCTAACACCAGTATCATTTCACTGGCTTGATCACAGTGTTAGAACCTACTCCATAACGTCGCTGCCATTGCCGTAGGAAGTTGTTCATGAATCTCAATCATCTTTACTGAAAGCAGAAGCAGTGAGTTCTCACCTTGTATGAGTGAAGGATATTAAGGGTGAAGGTCGACTTGGCAGCTTCTAGATCATTGTCAGTGGTCCAGTTGGAAGGAATCGCCTTCACCGCTGAAACAATATAGCCAGGCTTTAAATCTCACTATATCCTACTATGTAGTCTGCCATACCGACCCTGATACAAATTTATCCAATACAGCCCATGCAAGTCTATAATGTTTGGCAAGTCTAGATTACTCAGTATCAGGAAAATGAAGAGCCTCTGTGTTCCTTTTGTATAATATTTTATTAAGATAATTTAACAACTGTTTTTTCTGTAAGATATATTTATTTCAGAGACTAGGTGTAAATCTACCTATGTTGCCCACTATATACCATTGTCAATATGGAATAAGACCTGGCCCTGATGTCTAATGCTTATTATTAGGGTACTTATTATTGCAATGGTTGTTTGATGGTCTGTTTGATGGAGTATTTAATTTGTTTAAGATGGTATTTTTTAAATCAAATTGAATAAGAACACAAAATGTCTTGTTTGATAGGCATTACTTAGAAGTTGACGGATGACAAGGTAGACACAATTTATGGAAAAATACTTCTTTCATACTGTAAAGGCGACGTTTTGGAATAGATCCTTATACCGTTGTCAAGCATGACTTAATGAGGTACGCAGTTCAGAATATATACCGGTATAGTAGGTGGAGGATTAACAGTAGAGGATTAACAGTAACAACAATAGCATACATGAGTGGGTAATGACAACAGAAGGATAATACTGTATAGTATAATACTATAATACTATAATACTATAATACTATAATACAGGGGTATGCCGGGCAGCACACTATGCAGAATAGTTCCTATTCCTTACCAAAGTCGGCTTGACAGAAGTACTCCCTCAGAGACAGGAATTCGCACATGCATCCTTCTGTTTCCATGACAACTGACAGCATTGCCATCACGAACAATACAGCTGGTGAAAACTCCATTTTTGCTGAAAATAGAGGACATAAAATACACAAACTTATCACAAAATTCCCATACTCATTTAAGAATAATATAGAAAAACACTCACTCACTCACTCACTCACTCACTCACTCACTCACCCATCCCCCACTCACTCACTCACTCACTCACTCACTCACTCACATTGTAAATAACTTCCTCAATGTACACATGATAGCCTGAAAGCTGTCGCGATACCCAATATCAATTAATAAAAAAAAATAATTTAATCAAAGGTGAATCTTATATGATGGCAATTTTGAAATATTAAAGTTAAAAATCCAGCGTTATCTTGGTTCATGATACACTAAAACCTGAAACCTGCTATACAAACAACATGATTACTGTAGGGAGGCAAGTATGGAGGTATGGAAGGGACAATTGCCATCTAAACATGTTTATTGCAAGAAAAAGCCACACAGCTAGAAAATACATTAACCGAGACTAGATATCTAAAAAAGAAATCACACAAAAAAAGTTTACAACCCAAGACTGAATGTTCAACATTTGCTTTCAGTAAAGGCATTGTTATCCCATATTTTCTTGGGTAAAGTGCACACTTTTTTCCCAAAAATTCACAGCTCTGTAGAAGTATAATGAGTTTTGATGGGTTTTTTTCCCCGATGCAAAGATATTACCGTGAGCATGTAACAACGGAAATACCATGTCAAAAAATCTGTACGCAATGTAATCTTGTAATTACACTGTTTGGTTATAAAACGTGTTCATTGTACATCTGGACTTTGTTTATAACTTATTTCATTAATTTAATTCAAAATTCCTTTTAATATTGTTTTAATTAATTTCGGAAAAATCGGGTGTGAAGCGATCGGAAGATCACACAACTCACCGTTATTAACAGCAACCATGGTCAGATTACCGCTATTGGCACCTTGAAACGAACTTTAGTTGACAGAGAATGGATACATATATCATAAAAGCCATACTTTGACTAATCAAAAGTCATATTTGTTGTAGTTTGAGGATTCTATATCAACATGTAGTTCTCGGTAATTTCAAGGAAGTATATGGACATGGTGAGACTTATCCTACATACCTTCTGTTGAGTGAGTGTCCTGGTTCCACTACTAACTCATGAAATCATGTCTCCGTATTTATAAACCTGGCATAGATGGCAGCACTTCCTGGGTCACACCACCGCCCACCTTCCCTGCCTTTCCATTGTGTACATCACATATTTGCGTATGTGGTATTTGAGTGGGGGAGAGGGGGATGTGATTGGTTGTGAAGTCTCGGAAATGTCCAAGTGCATATAAGGAGGGTTCAGAGGAAGGGGGCAATGTACTTTAGCAATAACTCTTACATTTATGAAATGTCTAAAAATGATAATAAAGATGATGATGAAATTTTGATTAAACAAATATGTTTAATAGCACTTGGTATATAGGTAATATGAATCTATAACTTTTATTTTGAGCTGTTATTTAAATCAGGACAGAGATTTGATGTCTTCCATGGATTCTCAAATTTTCGGGCAGTCATCACCTCAAAAGATTCATAGCCAATTTCTTTTCAGTTTCCACTTGGAGATATCCAACAGGATCTGAAGCCTCTCTTGAGTGAGTGAGTGAGTGATTTTGGTTTTACGCCACTTTTAGCAATATTCCAGCAATATCACGGCGGGGGACACCAGAAATGGGCTTCACACATTGTACCCATGTCGGGAATCGAACCCGGGTGTTCGGCGTGACGAGCGAACGCTTTAACCACTAGGCTACCCGACCGCCCCTGAAGCATCTCTTGAAAAAAAAAAGATTTCAGACAGGTTTTACTTCATGTTTTATGGATAAGTCTATATGAAATTACAAATAAACATGATGCTTTTAATAAATAAAGTAGATAATACACTGTGATAAAAAAATATATCAGTTCATCAGACGTCTGTTCACAATAATTCTGTTTTAATTCTCAAATAAAGTAAGCTTCTATTCAAAAGGTATTTTCAAGGTAACATTTTGATTTTAATGAAAATGGACTCTGATCAGCAGTGAAAACACACCTTTAGCTCATCTTGCTTAATCTAGGTACACAGCTTATTTCAAGGCAAGATATCTGTCATCTGTAGCCATAACACATTTTCCATGTCTTCTTTAGAACTACCAGATTATTTTGAGTTTGAATTTTTTGTAGGTGTTCCCTACCCACAAGTGGTTATGTTTGTTCCAGACATTCCTTCTTGCCATTAGGTTGGGCTATCTTTTCCATATAAATTGGCATATCGGGTCAGAAAGTCAAGAAAAAGAAGAAAAAAATCGCCTGGCATCATCTGTTATTTGTGTGATTTCAGTTTACCTTAAGGCCAGACAAAAAAAAAGTGTTTTCAAAAGAGCCTACCTATTTTATTGCATTTGCAAGCAATTGTTATAGAAAAAGTTTTTGGTGGATATTTGGTGTTTATTGACATATTTTCGTTTATAATTTCAGGTTTTTTAAAAAGGAATTTTACATGTGATCAACTATGACAATATTTTTATTATTTTATTATTTTTAATTTGCAAACTTCCTAAGTAATTTATATGTTTACATCATCAACTAATATGATTTGAATGAGATCTGTTGTAAATCTCGTACCACATTGTAGAGCCACTGAGTGAATGCGGACGGACATCACATGGCAGCAGGTCAAGTGACATGATGTGCCTGGTGGTGTTGCTGTATTTCACGTCAAGACTGACAAGAGCAGTTTCCTGGCCACTGTTTTGTCTGTCATGATAGGATGGGGTTATAACATCATAAGTCTGTGATGATAGGAAGGAGTAATCAACATCGTAAGTCTGTGATGATGAGATGGGGTTAAAACATCGTAAGTCTGTGATGATGAGATGGGGTTAAAACATCGTAAGTCTGTGATGATGAGATGGGGTTAAAACATCGTAAGTCTGTGATGATGAGATGGGGTTAAAACATCGTAAGTCTGTGATGATGAGATGGGGTTAAAACATTGTAAGTCTGTGATGATGAGATGGAGTTAAAAACATTGTAAGTCTGAGATGGGGTTAAAAACATTGTAAGTCTGTGATGATGAGATAGAGTTATAAACATAATAAGTCTGTGACGATGAGATGGGGTTAAGAACATTGTAAGTCTGTGATGATGAGATGGGGTTAAAAACATTGTAAGTCTGTAATGATGAGATGGAGTTATGAACATTGTAAGTCTGTGATCAGATGGGATTAAAAACATCGCAAGTCTGTGATGATGAGATAGAGTTATGAACATTGTAAGTCTGTGATCAGATGGGGTTAAAAACATCGCAAGTCTGTGATGATGAGATAGAGTTATGAACATTGTAAGTCTGTGATGATGAGTTGTAGTATTTAACATTGTAAGTCTGTGATGATGAGATGGAGTTATGAACATTGTAAGTCTGTGATGATGAGTTGTAGTATTTAACATCGCAAGTCTGTGATGATGAGATGGAGTTATGAACATTGTAAGTCTGTGATCAGATGGGATTAAAAACATCGCAAGTCTGTGATGATGAGATAGAGTTATGAACATTGTAAGTCTGTGATGATGAGTTGTAGTATTTAACATCGCAAGTCTGTGATGATGAGTTGTAGTATTTAACATTGTAAGTCTGTGATGATGAGATAGAGTTATGAACATTTAAGTCTGTGATGATGAGATAGAGTTATGAACATTGTAAGTCTGTGATCAGATGGGGTTAAAAACATCGCAAGTCTGTGATGATGAGATAGAGTTATTAACATTGTAAGTCTGTGATGATGAGTTGTAGTATTTAACATCGCAAGTCTGTGATGATGAGATGGAGTTATGAACATTGTAAGTCTGTGATCAGATGGGATTAAAAACATCGCAAGTCTGTGATGATGAGATAGAGTTATGAACATTGTAAGTCTGTGATGATGAGTTGTAGTATTTAACATCGCAAGTCTGTGATGATGAGATGGAGTTATGAACATTGTAAGTCTGAGATGATGAGATGGAGTTATGAACATTGTAAGTCTGAGATGATGAGATGGAGTTATGAACATCGCAAGTCTGTGATGATGAGATGGAGTTATGAACATTGTAAGTCTGTGATGATGAGATGGAGTTATGAACATTTAAGTCTGTGATGATGAGATAGAGTTATGAACATTGTAAGTCTGTGATCAGATGGGATTAAAAACATCGCAAGTCTGTGATGATGAGATAGAGTTATGAACATTGTAAGTCTGTGATGATGAGTTGTAGTATTTAACATCGCAAGTCTGTGATGATGAGTTGTAGTATTTAACATTGTAAGTCTGTGATGATGAGATAGAGTTATGAACATTTAAGTCTGTGATGATGAGATAGAGTTATGAACATTGTAAGTCTGTGATCAGATGGGGTTAAAAACATCGCAAGTCTGTGATGATGAGATAGAGTTATTAACATTGTAAGTCTGTGATGATGAGTTGTAGTATTTAACATCGCAAGTCTGTGATGATGAGATGGAGTTATGAACATTGTAAGTCTGTGATCAGATGGGATTAAAAACATCGCAAGTCTGTGATGATGAGATGGAGTTATGAACATTGTAAGTCTGTGATGATGAGATGGAGTTATGAACATTGTAAGTCTGTGATGATGAGTTGTAGTATTTAACATTGTAAGTCTGTGATGATGAGTTGTAGTATTTAACATTGTAAGTCTGTGATGATGAGATAGAGTTATGAACATTTAAGTCTGTGATGATGAGATAGAGTTATGAACATTGTAAGTCTGTGATCAGATAGGGTTAAAAACATCGCAAGTCTGTGATGATGAGATAGAGTTATTAACATTGTAAGTCTGTGATGATGAGTTGTAGTATTTAACATTGTAAGTCTGTGATGATGAGATGGAGTTATGAACATCGCAAGTCTGTGATGATGAGATAGCATTATGAACATTGTAAGTCTGTGATGATGAGTTGTAGTATTTAACATTGTAAGTCTGTGATGATGAGATGGAGTTATAAACATTCTAAGGCTTGGGAGAAAAATTTCTAAACCTTTATGAATATTCGTACCATAGATATTTCAGCATACAGTTAAAAAGGGTTTATGTAATATATATTACAGATTAACTTGTAATCTAAGCACAACTAAAGATCTATCCATTGCATGACCGCTATTTGATCACATTATTATTATATACTGATACATTACCCTGGACAGTGCATGTTATGCTAAATTCCCTCTGATGGTAAAAGTATTAAATGCTCCACTTTTTCTAACATTGCTTTTAGCACCACTAACTTTTTGTCCAGATAATGTATGTTGCCAGTTTACTATCTGACAGACTAATACAGCAGCCATGCAAATACCTGCTCATGCTCATTCTGATCATACTGCTTTCAGAGTCAGAGAGTTTGATATTTTATGAGTGCTTCCAGCATAGCTGAACTTTGCACTCAAAACTCGATTGAAGATATTTTTGTCTTTCAAAGAAGCACTAGACTGGGGTCAGTTTGCAGAGATATCATCATTCAAGTCATTCACACACCAGTTTGTTGTGTGATTTCTAAAATTTGACTAAATGATTTATTCAGTGTCTCAGTGTCAAATGGCAAATGGTTCCAGATCTAGGACTAGGCAAGCTGTCCTAATGTAATTATAGTGGATACAACTAATGCAAAGATAAAGAATTACCATAGCCTATTCTAGTGCAAGCTGTATGACAGAACACATTTAATTATTTGAAACATAATGTCAAAGGTCAACCTAATCATCAATCTTTAGAAAAAAAATTCCATGGGGCGTAAAAGGCAAAAAAGTGGTGAAAATGAAATGAAAGGGTCATTTAAAGTCAGTGATGAAATACAGGTGTTTGGTACAATGGTAAGCATGTCCTGCTCTACCACTAGAACCCACCACTCACACAATGTGCATAAGAATGTTAGTGTTTGTTCCTTGCCTGACACAACTCCTGCAATACGACAGTGGACTGTAAATTATCAAGTTTTGACCAGACAATAGAGATGGACCAGGTGACCACTGACACAATAGCGTGTTTACTGATTTAGTTATAAATATTAAAAAAACATGTTAATTATGAATTATGTCTTCTGCTTACAATTATAAAGAAACACATTAGACACATGCTTTTGTTGGAAGTTGGGGAAGGCTATCATGTCTGTCAAATAATGATAATAATCTGTCAATAACATCATCAGCGATTAAAAATGAGAAACATGTTTCACAGAAAACAAATTCTCCTGGAAACCTAGTAGGAATATTACTTAAAATGTTTCACATCAACAGAAACCAATGTGTTGGGGCATACATCTGTGTACTGTAAATCTTGAAATTAACGCGAGCGTGAATTAAATATGAAAAATGTGAGTGGTTTTTGCCCACAATATTGAACATCGCATTTATATCAACAATAAGACATTTTGGATAGCAGAAATACCAACTTAGACATACGCTGAAAACAAACAACTATTTATTCCATATCACTGTTTATTCAGCAGCACTTGTTACAATTATATTAACAATGTCATTCAAACACTAATTACATCCTGTGAATTGTCACTGCTAGGTTGAAGACAAGCCTTCTACTCACTCATGTCATCACTGATCACCCCTGCAAGTCCAGACAGACAGTACTCTACTCAGCGCTAATAAGCGTTGTTATTTGGTGTGTGATTGGATTAATGTAAGGTTGGATTAAGGTGAGGATTCTCCTGTAAACCTGACAGAGGACATTTTGTTTAGATATAAATCCACTGATGCTTGAGAGGAGGTGGTGTCGCATTCATATTCAGTCACATTTTTGGCTAGGGGCCAGCGGTCGCATTCTTTTGGAGATGCATTAATTTCACGTTTTACAGTATATGAGCAGTGGAGTGTGGGGGGATGGACCCACCCAAGGCATTACCACACACACAGCCTTGAGACAGACGGAGGGAGAGGAAGCAGGGAGTGTCTTGGGTGTTCTTCTCAAATATCAGTGTAGCAGTAAAATGGGCTCAAGTCTGTACTGTGTGTGAATCAGTTTGTAGAATACCAAACATATGATGAGATGAGAATTATGTGTATCAAAACTGTTGAAAGTATATATACTTTGCTGATATGTATTTGTGGATAATTTTAAATCCAACCAAGGGACTGGTCATTCATTATGGGGGGTTGGGGGTTGAGACTGGTCATGGGACTGTATCATACTTTGCCGATCTCCTCCCCTTTCTATGTAACATTCTTTCATGCCAATACACGTAACATGTTTCCGTGACCCTATAATATATGACGAGTTTCTAAAAACGTTATTTGAAAAAAAAAGAATTGTGTCATTTTTCATCCTCTTGCACTCCCACACAAGGAACCCTTATAATTCACACTCTTTCACTGTTATTTTTTTTCATGACACCATGACACTGACACACCATTATACCCAACTCACTGTTCACTATAAAAGTAGAAATATAGACAAAGATAGGAAATCTTAGCCCTGAAACATCGTTACAAACAATAAAAGAGATGTTATCCATAAAAATTTCATGTTTCATGTTCTTCCAAGTTCTAAATGCCCGTCAAAGACGAGAAGCAAGGATCTTCAGACAGTATTAGTAGGAGCGTTATCAGCAGCCACTGCCAGAGCCAGGCCTGGCACGTACACGCATTCCACGGGACTTCACTCCTCCACTACAGTGTGGGAACATGTAGTACATGTAGTACATGTAGTATGTAGGGACATGCATGTAGGATGTAGGGACATACATAGAGGATATACGCATATAACTGCTGTGGCAGGAAATGACGACAACTTAGCATATCTTATTTAACATCGCAGTGTTTAGAATATCAATTATCTGTGCAGTAATATTATATTACTTAGAATAGTAGGTACAATACAATTAATAGCATCAGGATTCTTGTCATTTTGTGACTTGCAGTAATACACCACACATATATATGACTTGAATGATTCAATATATTATTTGAATATTATTGTATTTGCTTTCTACTCTTGATTTTTATTGGCCATATTTTTTCAAAATAATATTGACCAAGTAAGTATTCTTGGTGCGAATGAGTAATTTATAAGACATACACAGCAATTATTGTTGATAATATACAGACATCATTGTTGATGTCATACAGACACTATTGTTGATGTCATGCAGACACCATTGTTGATGTCATACAGACACCATTGTTGATGTCATGCAGACACCATTGTTGATGTCATACAGACACCATTGTTGATGTCATGCAGACACCATTGTTGATGTCATACAGACACCATTGTTGATGTCATGCAGACACTATTGTTGATGTCATGCAGATGCCATTGTTGGTGTCTTACAGACACTATTGCTGATGTCACACAGACACAATTGTTGATGTCATACAGACAATATTGTTGATGTCATGCAGATACCATTGCTGATGTCATACACACTATCGTTGATGTCACACAGACAAAATTGTTGATGCCATACAGACACTATTGTTGATTTCATGCAGACACCATTGTTGATGTCATGCAGACACCATTGCTGATGTCATGCAGATGCCATTGTTGATGTCATACAGACACAATGTGTAATGCCACATCCTATCACTGTTAACTATTTTAAAAGTATGGATAATGAAGACATTGTTAGATCTTACACACACAATACTATCAGTACATCATTGTTCAAAGATACTGTCACATGGGGATTCTGGCTTGAATAACAAGGTCCCCTGCAACACATGCTTGTTTTAATAGTTGACTAAACTGATTGGGCGGTCAGGCTCTTAGAGCGGAAAGACTATACACCACTGCAGTCATATACAGTCAATCCCCCTTATCTCGAATCTTGCAGGACTGTGCTGTAACTTCAAGATATCAGGACCTTTGAGTAAACGAGACATGAACATTCAGACAGATAAGTAGCAATATTACAGATCAAAGCAATGCGATTGCATACGCAAGAAATTAAGAACTTATGTCTGTGATGACAAATTAAAATGTATTTCACGGCAATGATTAATAACAATTGTGACAGGTTATGTACAATAAACATGTACCTTTTTAGGCATAGCAGCAATCACTATTTAATCCGTCCACTTGACAATGTATTGCAATGTGCTGAATTAAAAAAACAAGCAAACAAACAAACAAACATCGACGTTGCCATTGCTAAGATTGCTTCAATACGTCCTAGTTAAGATTTTTCCTGTTTTGTTGAGGGAAACATCTCACCAGTGTGCATTGTAATCACAGTCTACTAAAATGATTTGAAAAAGTATTCCAGTATTCCGAAAAAGAAAATAGAAAGCACATCAAGTGTGCACAAATAAGTTTTATGGAATACACTATTGAATATATTTGATTAATTTCCAAATCATGGTCATTCTATAGTATGAATAAGTTGAACATTTTATCTTTTTTATATAACAGTTAAGAAATTATGACATCTTCATAGTTATCACTGGATAGAGCTTTCCCTTGTTTCTACCCAGGCTGATGCTTGGCATTAAGGGGCTAAAACAAGGATTGGTTGGCTCGGAGTCGGTATACTGTGTCTGAGTGGGGTGTTCATGTTAAACTGCGGCAGGGTATCTCAGTGGAATGGCACTATAAGTCCAGACTACACTCACACAAGTGTATGCTCGTTGCAATGTAAGTGCAATAATCTTGAATGCAGTGTTGAACCCCACTTCACCACACCCCACAGTTACCACTGAGCAGTGATACTATAAAGGGACCTACAGTATATGCTTATATTTACATATATTCACTGTTTCCACCTTCAATAAATGTCATTAGGGACTGACCAATTGATATTTGTGTGTGTGTTGGGTGTCTGTGTGTTGGAGGGTGGGGGTGGGGGTGGGGGGCAGGAGGGCGGTGAGTGTTTGGATTTTGTATTGAGACTTAATACTTTTCAGCTGATGATGCAAAACCAGATATTATTTTAGTTATGTTATACTATGAACTTAAATATAAAAAAATAAACCCACTATAAATTTGGTGGCAGACAATTTCGCTTTTTTTAACCTTAATTATTTTTTTCAATCATTTTTGGAAAGTTTCTTTTTTTCCATAAATTCCAAGCACCCATATCAAATGGTCAGCTCCTTTTGTTATTCAACTTTTGTATGTGGATTAAGCACACCAATAACCATGTTTCTTTCTTCCAGATAACCAGCCTGTTATTGGGGATGTTTTTATCCTCTTCTTATGTTTCAGCTTATAACTCCAAAGTTCCCGGTGGTTGTGAAAATAGGCCACGCCCACTCCGGCCTGGGGAAGGTGAGATAAAACAGAAGGATCTTATCTTTGCAACTTAATTTTTTAATCGTTTTCTAAAACTTTAAAGACAGAAAAATAACACTGTTCGATTATTCAAATTGGTAGTTTTTGTCTGTTAACTGTTAAGTTGGTATTCTATAAAGGCACTGAAGTAATATAAATACATGGGGAGGTCGGGTAGCCTAGTGGTTAAAGCGTTCGCTCGTCACGCCGAAGACCTGGGTTTGATTCCCGACATGGGTAATGTGTAAAGCCCATTTCTGGTGTCCCCCGCTGTGATATTGCTGGAATATTGCTGGAATATTGCTGAAAGCGGCGTAAAGGCATACTCACTCACTCACTAATATAAATATATGACAGCATGCTGTAAACTTTGATATCAGATATTTTATCTGGTGTACATAGTGCGATATCAATGTTTCAACAGGGTAACTCACCAAATTCATTTACCTTTTATATTCAATTTTTTCATGTGATCAATCTATGATCAATAATCTATAGTACTCAACTTTTGCTAGGGATGTTCTGAGTGCTTGGAGATGTTGTCATATGAATAGATTTCAATGTTGTCATTTGATTGACACATTTTCAGTTTCATTTCAAGTCATTTTAGGTGCCACAATTCTCTGTGCAAAGTTGCTTCCCTTTAGAAATGCCTGATACATATGACCAATCATGTTTCTAGGTTTGTCTGCACCATACACATGGGTTTCACAAAAGTTGTAACATTTACGACCTTCATCAGGCTTTCTTCCAAGATCAAGCTGACATGCTGTGATATGACTGAAATACTGTTAAACTCAGCATTAATCCGGGGCGTTCGGGTAGCCAAGTGGTTAAAGCATTCGCTCGTCACGCCAAAGACCTGGTCACGATTCCCACCACTCACTCACCAGCATTAATCCAACTCTCTCTCACCCATGACAATAAACACAAGTACACATTTTTATTTAGTTGTTCACTAAATCTGTAACAGTTTGAATGTCTCGGTATCTCAATCATTCAAACTGTTACAGATTTAGCAAACAACTAAATAAAAATGTGTACTTGTGTTTATTGTCATGAGTGAGAGAGAGTTGAATGTCTCAGTATCTCAATCAACCCGTAAAGATCCAGGGTAGAATAGGTCTTCAGCAACCAATGCTTGTCGTAAAAGGAACGATGCTTGTCGTAAGAGGTGACTAACGGGATCGGGTGGTCAGGCTGCTGACTGGTTGATGCATGTCATTGTGTCCCAATTGAGTGGATCAATGCTCATGATATCAATCACTGGATTGTCTGGTCCAGACTCGATTATTTACAGACTGCCGTCATATAGCTGGAATATTGCTGAGTGCGGCGTTAAACAACAAACCAACAAAACAAATAAACAGTATCTCGATCATAAGTTGAGACTTATATATAATAAAGAAATCAAGGCTAGAGTCTTGCCCTCCTACATTTTAGACTATAACAAAATTGAGTGTGAAGATTGATTAGGAAAACTAAATTTGACATGCCTAGTATTGAGTTGAAGAGCAGTTGAACAAGGAATGTGTGATAGAATCCAATAAACCCAATATCAATAATCAATAACTATCAAATAAATTAGGTGTCTTTTCAGAAATTGCTTTAAATTTGTACCAATGATAGCTGAAAAGCCAAAGTCATGAATTATTAAAAACGTGTATTATATCATAACCTGAATCAATCACTCTTTAATTATAAAAAAATGACTTTTTTTTACAATGATTCAATTCACTGAAGTGGTAAATGTCTAAGACCTGCATCACTTCGAGCTTTCCTTACACATTAAGCTGACATGCCAGGATATAACTGTAATACTTTTAAAAGTGGCTTAAAAACCCAACTCACTCACTCACTCACTCACAATGATTCAACCCTGTATTTGAACTCAAATTTTCTCATTTCTATTTCAAGTGGATGTTTTTCAGCAAAAAATGATGTGCACAATGTATATGAGAAATGCATGAAAAGCATGCTGGAACAATACTTTCTGACCCAATTATCAATAATATTTTCTTTCTGTTCTGTTAATCACTGTTGCAGCAGTTTCTGAGGTCATTTTGCTGTCAAATTTTCTCAGCTTATCTTGTATAAAGATGTGACAAAGTTAAACTGATGCTCTGTGGTTGACCATGTATACAAGGTATTTTGACTAAAGACGAGAGCTGTGGTAGGTACATCCTTGTGTACAATGTATCACAAAGTAGACACAATATATGGATAACCACTTCTTTGATATACTGTCACAGCAACATTTCTGTATAGATCCCAATACCATTATCAAGGGGGGCACGGGTGGCCCAGTCGTCTAAGGCGCCGCAATTTGCTGTGCAGAGTTGCGTACCTTGGGCACGCCAGAAACCTATGATTGTGGGTTCGAATCCCGATTCACCCCGATTATGTTACTAGGTTTGTCAGCACCAGACCCGTGCTCGTGGGTTTCACCGAACCGGTAAACGTCTGAGACCTGCATCGCTTCGGGCTTTCCTCCCACATTAAGCTGACACGCCGCGATATAACTGGAATACTGTTAAAAGGGGCGTTAAAACCCAACTCACCCAAATACTCACTCACTGTTATCAAGTAGTCACCCAATAAATGTCTATGAAACAATAGAATGCATCAATGAAGCAGACTTTATTCAACATTTTCATGTCATGATGCCTCTGAAACCATCTTTGTGACACTGTAAGTGTCTTTGCATCATATATATTTCGAGGGGGCACAGGTGGCCCAGTCGTCTAGGGCGCCGCGAATCGCTGTGCAGAGTTGCGTCACCTGGACACGCCAGAAACCTATGATTGTGGGTTCGAATCCCGGTTCACCCCGATTATGTTTCTAGGTTTGTCAGCACCATATCTGTGCTCGTGGGTTTCACCGAAGTGGTAAACGTCTGAGACCTGCATCACTTCAGGCCGTCCTCCCACATTAAGCTGACACGCCGTGATATAACTGGAATAATGTTAAAAGCGGCTTTAAACCCAACTCACTCACTCATATATATTTCGTAATCACAAATCACAAGGTATCCACTCGTGTTCAGTAACTACAAGAATGAAAGGCCAGCTGTCTATGTGATCCAAAGTTTGAACTCTCTTGGTTTTTCAAGCTTGAAAATTGAATTCAAGATGGACCAAAACTATTTTTTATATTTTTCAGAATTTGTTGTTGAATATGCCAAAAGTTGGGAGGCAAAATGTGAAAAGAACAAAAATTGTCAGGGTCAATTTAAGGTTAAATTCTTTTGAAAGTTATCAGAAAAATGCAATAACAACATATATCTGGAATAATGCCGAGTGCGACATTAACAACAACAAAAAAACACACACAAAACTAAAAATAATATTAGAATGAAAAAACTTAGAAATCAAGGCTATTACTTATGGTATATGAATGTGATAAATGTTCATTATTGGGTACACAAGGGGGTATAGTTAAAGTTGTTATGAAGAAGACTTGAAAGTAATCAATGACATTATTGACAGTTGTCAAGCCTTTTTTTAACCAATCACTGCTCTGTTATTGCCTAGGTGAAGATAGACTCTCCTCATTCATTTCAAGATATAGCAAGCGTGGTGGCGGTCACTAGATCATATGCCACTACTGAGCAGTTTATTGAAGGCAAATACGATATCCATGTTCAGAAAATTGGAAACAATTACAAAGCCTACTTGTGAGTCCTCAAGTGTGTGTTTCCATGGCTGTTTTTTATCACCACCAGATGTAATCGATGGAAGAATCAAGTGTCCATTCATTGAACTCTAATATGAAAAATTAATGTTTCCAAAATTTGGACAATTGAGGTTTGTAAATTTGTAAAACTATTTGGAATAGGCATGATAGGATTCTTGGCACTTCCATCTGTCTTTTTGATCCGATTGGTGCACCTTTGTGACATAAGTTGTGCAGTCAATGGGGATATGTGATGGGCTGATAAGGCCATGTGACTTCCACCTTATCATCAAAATGACATGATATTTTATTAACTTCCCGGACCTTTGGGATGTCAATAATTTTAAACTGAAATTAATTAAATTTATTATTTTGGTTAAACCAGCATTGAATATCATGACATTTGTATAGAACGGCCTGTTACTTTTAAAATGACATCACATATCCCAAGAGCTTTTCCCAAGTTTTGCATGGGTGCATGGGATTTTGTTCCATTTTTTTGCCTTTTACAACCATATGCCTTCTCTCTGCTCAGGTTAGACTAGGCAGCCATTATGATTTTCAAGACATAGCAGGGGTGGTAGCAGTTACCTCCTGTTATTCCACAACCGAACCCTACATTGACAGCAAATACGACCTTCACATTCAGAAGATAGGCAATAAGTACAAGGCATTCATGTAAGTCACATGACTGTTTGACCTAGTTCCATGGTGAAAGGGTATGACCTTTATGTAACCTTGACCCTAAATGACCTTGTTTTGATATTAATGCACCATGTATGGGCTTTAACTGAAAGTGTATTTTGTTTATTGGTTATTTTTGCATGAAAGTACGGCATGGTTTCTTTGATTTCAAAGCACTAAGGCGAAAATCAAGGGGGAAAATTACATTTATTAATTTGGAATCAGATAATGTAACCTATGTGCTTGTAGATTTCAGTGTGTTGCATAGAGATACATGACAATGTAAATCTGTCACTTTTTTTGAAAATATATAATCGAACTCAATCATCTCCCATGCAGTAAAGGGGAATAACACTGTTCTAAAGGGGAATAACCCCTGTTATGTCAAATAAATATGTGTTTTGTCATATTTCATTGAGATTTGTAATCAAACTAAATTTCTTTTTTTAATATTTCTCTTATGTTTGTCTATATTTCGAATATATAGACAATTTTATCAGTTTTATCTTTAAATGATTTATTCATCAGCACAAAGTATTTGAAAAAATAATTTTAACGAGGTTTTTCAAATCGGGTTCATGTAAGCGTTGATACTTTAATAACAAGCTGGTAATACTGCTGTGTGAATAAACATGTTATTGTTACGTTATTTCAGTTCAAGAACTTTACATTTACAAAGAGTTTTTTATTTGTTTACATATGTGTAATGAGGTGTCCTTTTCGGGGGTTGTATTACTATATGCAGACTAAAAGCTGCTGGTCCTTCCTTCCTGGTATGAACGCGAAAGATGCATGATATTTATGACAAGGGTCAAGGTCGGGTCACCATTCTAGCTGCCTGTTAGTGGTGTCGTACCTGAATGCACGGTGTAGCAGTAGTTCACGTAGCGTTGTTGGACAGATTATCGTCATTGTGGCGCCACTAGACTAGACGAAGATGTTTGTCAGTAAAACACTTAGCTTCCTGTACTAATGTTATTTACTACTGAAAACATTCACTATCCATCTGAATGATTGATGGCTTGTATTTGTAATAGCTATTGTTAAGGTAGGAATGTAACAAGTGTTCTGGTATGTGTCTGTTTTATGACCTTTGAACAACTTCTGTTTTCTTATCATAGGTGTGGTAATGTTTTAATGTTACCTGGATCTGTGTTCAAGTTACTAAATAAAAATATGTTTCAAATTTTATCAAATGCATGCCACATGTGTAAGTGCATGAACTTTTTATGCGAAATCCTGAAATATGTAATAGCTGTTTACTTTATTCACTCTACCTGTTAAAGAATTTTGGGGCAGAATATCTTTAGAATAGGTCCCTAGCATCCTATTTGCATTTGTGTGGGATCCTGTGGCCAAAGAGGTCCCCCACACCCAATGTTTTCCTCTCTGTGGGATTCTCGGTCAGAATAGGTCCCCAACACCCTATGTTCAATGAATGTGGGATTCTCAGTCAGTGTAGGTTCCCAACACCAAATGTTCAATGCCTCTCTGCGGGATTCTCGGTCAGATTAGGTCCCCAACACCCTATGTTTTCCTCTCTGTGGGATTCTCAGTCAGAATAGCTAGGTCCCCAACACCCTATGTTTTCCTCTCTGTGGGATTCTCTGTCAGAATAGGTCCCCAACACCCTATGTTTTCCTCTCTGTGGGATTCTCAGTCAGAATAGGTCCCCAACACCCTATGTTTTCCTCTCTGTGGGATTCTCGGTCAGAATAGGTCCCCAACACCCTATGTTTTCCTCTCTGTGGGATTCTCGGTCAGAATAGGTCCCCAACACCCTATGTTTTCTTCTCTGTGGGATTCTCGGTCAGAATAGCTAGGTCCCCAACACCCTATGTTTTCCTCTCTGTGGGAATCTCGGTCAGATTAGGTCCCCAACACCCTATGTTTTCCTCTCTGTTGGATTATCAGGCAGAATAGGTCCCCAACAACCTATGTTTTCCTCTCTGTGGGATTCTCGGTCAGAATAGCTAGGTCCCCAACACCCTATGTTTTCCTCTCTGTGGGATTCTCGGTCAGATTAGGTCCCCAACACCCTATGTTTTCCTCTCTGTGGGATTCTCTGTCAGAATAGGTCCCCAACACCCTATTTTTTTCTCTCTGTGGGATTTTCTGTTAGAATAGGTCCCCAACAACCTATGTTTTCCTCTCTGTGGGATTCTCGGTCAGAATAGGTCCCCAACACCCTATGTTTTCCTCTCTGTGGGATTCTCGGTCAGAATAGCTAGGTCCCCAACACCCTATGTTTTCCTCTCTCTGGGATTCTCGGTCAGAATAGGTCCCCAACACCCTATGTTTTCCTCTCTGTGGGATTATCAGGCAGAATAGGTCCCCAACACCCAATGTTTTCTTCTCTGTGGGATTCTCGGTCAGAATAGCTAGGTCCCCAACACCCTATGTTTCCTCTCTGTGGGATTCTTGGTCAGAATAGCTAGGTCCCCAACACCCTATGTTTTCCTCTCTGTGGGACCTATTTGGTCAGAATAGGTCCCCAACACCCTATATTCAATGCCTCTCTGTTGGATACTTGGTCACAATAGGTCCCCAACACCTTATGTTCAATGCCTTTCTGTGGGATTCCTGGGCAGAATAGGTCCCCATCAACCTATGTTTTCCTCTCAGTGGGATACTCGGTCAGAATAGGTCCCCATCAACCTATGTTTTCCTCTCTGTAGGATACTCAGGCAGAATAGGCCTCCAGCGACCCATGTTTGGTGCTGACTACTGAAGATCATATGGCCATGCTATTTGTTGCTCCGTGGCATTTGCATCTGACTCAAAATGAAGAAAATAGTGCAGGGTATACATCACAATACAATCAAAACATAATATAAACAGGATATAATCCAGGATGGCTGTTGTTAAACTTTGCCCAGTTGACTAAGCCACAGTTCACTGTAATGTGTTCCGTCCCTTTTACCATGCCATGTTCCAACTTGAGTGTAAAAAGTACAGCTAACCAGCTTCAGTGGCAGAGAGATTAGTGATGTCATTTGATTGTGACATCATGGAAACTGATGATGTCACAATGGCCTGCAAAGCATTGTGATGCAATTTCATTATTGTTATATGTCCTAGTGATCTCATCCAAGCAAGATCTCCTGTGGATGGTAATTGACAATTGCAGATGTCATTAATGATATGACAAGGCTTTGGCAGAGGTCATTATCTATATCAAATTGTAAGGTAGATGTCTGTGTACGAATAGAGTTTGTAAGGGCTCTTTCTTGAGCAGAGGCAATAGTATATTGCTGCTGTTGTTTGTTTGTTTGTTTATGTGTGATGTCACTTCTTTTAGTTTCACAGTTGCTATGTTTATGCATCATCATCATTATCATCACCATCATATAGTCTTGCTCTGTATTAATATACCACTGCACATGCTTTGAATCCATTTAAACGTCAATGTATTTGCATGATTTTTTTTAATCTCAGTTCATCGCTTCACTCATTCTACCCTGATTGATTTGACATTATCAATATTTCCTATACAATAATGTATGTAATAACACATGTTCTAACATTTTATAATATAATGTCATCTGTTGTGACATTTAATGTTAGATGCCTTTACAATAGTGTTTTGAATAATATTGATTCATTACCTACCATATTTCTTCATGTTTGCTTATTTCAAGAACTGTCAATTAAAGTTGAAATGATCTATAGAAGTTAAACAATATAGCATAACAATATAGCATCATTGTTATGTATGTGTTACATATGTTTAACCATTGTATACTTCACTGCAGATAACTCCAATGACAATTAGAGGGAGATATAGCACAATAGAGAGTGTGTCTACTTGTCAGGCAGTAGGCATGGGCTTGAGCCAATGCATCATTAAAACTGGTGAAGCCAATATTTTGTATCCTCTAGCTGCAAGAGTGCTGACATGGCAAAATGCCCACCTCACTGCCTCACTGTCCACAGTGTTTAGTACAGGTTGCCCAGCTACAGTGTGAGTGATGGTTTCCCTGTGCCCAGTTTTGTTCTGCTAAGCACTGCTGCCACTAACCTAGTTGTTCCTGACTGCAGGAGGAAGTCAATATCAGGGAACTGGAAGGCCAACACAGGATCAGCCATGTTAGAACAGATCGCCATGAATGAGAGGTAAGGGTTGTGTCATGTGAAGGGCAAAACACGCTCCCAAGGGGGCCGCCTCCGTGGTCTAGTGGTAGAGCGTCCCCCCGGAGAGCGGAAGGTCCAGGGTTCGATCCCCGACCACGTCATACCAAAAGACGTTAAAAGATGGTACTTGTTGTTATCCTGTCTGGCGCTCCGCATTAAGGGGCTAAAACAAGGACTTGTCGGCTTGGAGTCAGTTTACTGTGTTTGAGTGGGGTATTCATGTTCAACTGTGGCATGGTATCTCAGTGAGTTAGCACTATAAATCGGCATCAGTTCGGACTAGTACAAGCAGCCACACAAACACACACACGTACATGCACGTCACTATATAAGTGCAATAATCTTGGACGCGACGTTAAACCCCATTTCACCTCACCTCACCGTTCCCAAGGGTTTGTTTGATATGTGAACATGTGTAGCAGTGCTACACCTATGATGCTATACCTGTACATTTAACAAATACAGTTAGAAGAACCTATGCAACCTCCACCATTATCTTCATTCGTCTATAGCAAAGTAGATGCAGACTCTTGCAGTATGTAAGGCTGGATATATGGGTACATTAATGTATATGTTCTCTGCATAGATTCAAGGCTTGGGTACATTAATGTATATGTTCTCTGCATAGATTCAAGGCTTGGGTGAATTAATGTATATGTTCTCTGCATAGATTCAAGGCTTGGGTGCATTAATGTTTTTGTTCTCTGCATAGATTCAAGGCATGGGTACATTGATGCATATCATGTTCTCTGCATAGATTCAAGGCTTGGGTGCATTAATGTATAAGTTCTCTGCATAGATTCAAGGCATGGGTACATTAATGTTTTTGTTCTCTGCATAGATTCAAGGCTTGGGTGCATTAATATAAATGTTCTCTGCAAAGATTCAAGGCTTGGGTGCAATAATGTTTTTGTTCTCTGCATATATTCAAGGCTTGGGTGCATTAATGTAAATGCTCTCTGCATAGATTCAAGGCTTGAGTACATTAATGTATATGTTCTCTGCATAGATTCAAGGTTTGGGTACATTAATGTATATGTTCTGTGCAAAGATTCAAGACTTAGGTGCATTAATGTATATGTTCTGTGCAAAGATTCAAGGCTTGGGTGCACTATTGCATATGTTCTGTGCAAAGATTCAAGGCTTGAGTACATTAATGTATATGTTCTCTGCATAGATTCAAGACATGGGCAGACGAATGTGCAGAAATGTTTGGAGGGCTTGACATGGTGGCTGTGGGAGCAATACAAGGCAAGGATGGGAAAGAGTACATCATTGAGGTGAGTTGAATGTGTCTGGTTAATGTGATGAGATTAGCATGGTGAGTTGAGTGAATGTACTTAGGCTTCTACAGGTAAGACTTCAGTATACCATTAAGAAACCTTTACATCATTGTAAAGGGCGTTATTCAGTATTGACATTTGGGCATTTAAGGATAATCAAAACAATCTATGCTTTGTATGATAGACTAAATTGGGTATACTTTGTGGATTACATATCCTGTGTGGATTGTGTTCATCATATGTACCGCTGCAGGTGAATGGATCATCCATGACGCTGCTGGGAGAGACGCAGGAGGAGGACCGCAGACACATAGCCGAGCTGGTTCTCGGCAAGATGCAGATCTATTGTCGACCCACTCCAACAATGAGGTAAGTCCCTGAAGGGGAGGGGAGGAAGGATCAGAGAGCCAGGGTGGAGGGAGGGGACGAGAGGGCCAAGGAGGAGATAGAGGACAAGGGGCCCAAGGAGGGAGGAGGGAGGAGGGAGGTGACGAGAGAGCCAAGGAGGAGATATTGGACAAGGGGGCCAGGGAGGGAGGTGCCAGGGAGAGGAGGGAGGCGACAAGAGGGCCAAAGAGGAGATATCGGACAAGAGGACCAGGGAGGGAGGTGCCAGGGAGAGGAGAGAGGCAACAAGAGGGCCAAAGAGGAGATATCGGACAAGAGGCCCAGGGAGGGAGGTGCCAGGGAGGAGGGAGGCGACAAGAGGGCCAAGGAAGAGATAGGGGACAAGAGGCCCAGGGAGGGAGGAGCCAGGGAGGAGGGAGGCGAGAAGAGGGCCAAGGAGGAGATATCGGACAAGAGGCCCAGGGAGGGAGGTGCCAGGGAGGAGGGAGGCGACAAGAGGGCCAAGGAGGAGATAGGGGACAAGAGGCCCAGGGAGGGAGGAGCCAGGGAGGAGGGAGGCGACAAGAGGGCCAAGGAGGAGATAGAGGACAAGAGGACCAGGGAGGGAGGTGCCAGGGAGAGGAGGGAGGCAACAAGAGGGCCAAGGAGGAGATAGGGGACAAGAGGCCCAGGGAGGGAGGTGCCAGGGAGAGGAGGGAGGCGACAAGAGGGCCAAAGAGGAGATATCGGACAAGAGGCCAAGGGAGGGAGGTGCCAGGGAGGAGGGAGGCGACAAGAGGGCCAAGGAAGAGATAGGGGACAAGAGGCCCAGGGAGGGAGGAGCCAGGGAGGAGGGAGGCGACAAGAGGGCCAAGGAGGAGATATCGGACAAGAGGCTCAGGGAGGGAGGAGCCAGGGAGGAGGGAGGCGACAAAAGGGCCAAGGAGGAGATAGGGGACAAGAGGCCCAGGGAGGGAGGAGCCAGGGAGGAGGGAGGCGACAAGAGGGCCAAGGAGGAGATAGGGGACAAGAGGCCCAGGGAGGGAGGTGCCAGGGAGGAGGGAGGCGACAAGAGGGCCAAGGAGGAGATATCGGACAAGAGGCCCAGGGAGGGAGGAGCCAGGGAGGAGGGAGGCGACAAGAGGGCCAAGGAGGAGATAGAGGACAAGAGGCCCAGGGAGGGAGGTGCCAGGGAGGAGGGAGGCGACAAGAGGGCCAAGGAGGAGATAGAGGACAAGAGGCCCAGGGAGGGAGGTGCCAGGGAGGAGGGAGGCGACAAGAGGGCCAAGGAGGAGATAGAGGACAAGAGGCCCAGGGAGGGAGGTGCCAGGGAGGAGGGAGGCGACAAGAGGGCCAAGGAGGAGATAGGGGACAAGAGGCCCAGGGAGGGAGGAGCCAGGGAGGAGGGAGGCGATAAGAGGGCCAAGGAGGAGATAGAGGACAAGAGGCCCAGGGAGGGAGGTGCCAGGGAGGAGGGAGGCGACAAGAGGGCCAAGGAGGAGATAGGGGACAAGAGGCCCAGGGAGGGAGGAGCCAGGGTGGAGGGAGGCGATAAGAGGGCCAAGGAGGAGATAGAGGACAAGGGGGCCAGGGAGGGAGGTGGCAGGGAGGAGGGAGTCGACGAGAGGGCCAAGGAGGAGAAAGGGGACAAGGGGGCCAGGGAGGGAGGAGGGAGGCGACGAATGGGCCAAGGAGGAGATATTGGAGAAGGGGGCCAGGGAGGGAGGTGCCAAGGAGGAGGGAGTCGAGAAGAAGGCCAAAGAGGAGATATAGGACAAGGGTGCAGGGAGGGAATGATGGAAGAGAGGGCTAGAGAAGAGGGAGGAGGGAGGTGCCAGTGCAGGGGGGCGGCAGGGAGGAATTACAAGAGGTTTGCTGTTCCCATTGTTACAATGCACTGTGAGAACAATGAGCAATTGCACCCTAGTTATAAGTAATATTCGTGCAATATCATGGCCGATGACACAAGTCCTATGCTTAACATGTTATATAAGGCCCTGAGGGGAATTGACCAAATGCTTTATCCAAAAGGGTTCCTCAGCCATCTCGTTTGGAAAGTTCTTTCATGCATCACAGTCCAATGTTATCTTAGCTAGGGTAGAAAATTGGTTGTGATAAATTTCACTTTATCCATTGAATCATATTCTATATTATTTGGATGATCATGTCTGTGTATTCTGTGTTGCCAGCAAGACGTCAAGTACAGGAGGATTAATGCACTATGCCATGAATGGCAGCCAGGACCGCATGGGTCCCAACCAACCGATGTCACAGCAACAACAGCAGATGCAACAGAATCAGATGTCCCAGATGCCAGGCAACAAGTGAGTGGTAACCATAGGGAAACTGACAGTATCTTTGTCATCAATATGTGTATGCAAATTAAGTAGTTTCCATATTGTTGACATTTTGAACATTTTCAAAAATTATTTCATTTGGTAAAGAGGCTTCAGTAAGTTTGAATCATGTTAGTCAAACAACAATTTTCTTGTCTATTTATGATCTAGATCAACAATGAACACTGTTCCTACATACATAAATACAATGCCTAGCTCCTAGCTATTTACAGCATCGGACCTTCACTGAAAACTGGCATCAAACTATAAGGTCTGGTCTCCAACTATCTACCCACATGTTATCTGTGTCCATTCAGCCCACAGGGGAATCCTGCCAATGCTAGAGGACCAGGAATGATGCCAATCGGAGGTCAAGGTCAGACGGGCCCCTCCCCCATGCCCTTGCCCCAGGTCGGACGCAACCAGAGCATGGATGAAGAGGACACTATGAGGAATTTGAGGAAGACATTTGCAGGTGGGCCCCGTTCAGGTTCAGCTTCATGACCTAAGGGGAGGTAACTCCAGTACTTTGGATGAGTTGTTGAGGAAAGAAACAGATACTATCCCTTGTTTATTGGAAACTTAAATCAGAAATTTTATTCAGCAGTTTGACCACAGAATCAGGACCTTGATCCAAACAGTGTGTGTTGTGATGGGACTATCAGAGCTCCATAGTTTAACACAGACGTCTGATTGTCGAAGCATTACAAATACGAATGAGATCCTGTCGTGTCCTTCTCTGAAGAGAGGAAGCACTCTCAAAGGAACTTATCATTGAAGTGTTTATGCAGATTTAGATGTATTTCATTTTCCTGTATCACCCCCCAAAAGTTTTTGGTGACTCACCCATGCTTTCTTTCTAAACCATCTCTTCTCTTCCTACCCCTCACCTCAACATTGCTGTATAAGAGGTGACTTAGTGAATTGGGTGGTCGACTCAGTAACTTAAAAATTGGTTGATGGCATGTCATCATACCCCAATGGTGTGGATCATTGCTCACAGGATCAATCACTGGATTGCCTGGACTTAATTTACAGGCCTCAATCATATAGCCGGAATATTGCTGAGCGTGGCTTAAACCAACACATATATGCACACTTTATCCCAACCCTAAAAAATACAAAAAATATGCAACTACTAAACACAAGGGGCAGTCATCGTTCACGGTGTTTTTTAATTTCTGACTAAAACAAATGGCATGGGATGAAAATATGCTGATAAGTCTGTGTTTCTATTTTGACAGGAATCTTCGGTGACATGTAAGAAAAACACCTAGTATTACACGGAAGTATGTCAGAAGTCCATCGGGCATACATGAAGCAAGGCCCTAGACATCAACTGTGTCACATTTATGCTGCAACAGTTCTGCAACAGTGCTGCAACAGAGCTACACCTAAACTGCAACAGGACTACAACAGTGCTGAAATAGGTCTGTAACAGGGTTGTAACGAGGCTGTGAAATGGCTCTGGCAGCCGTACAACAACCCTCCCTATAGCAGTGCTGAAACATAAGCGCTGAAGTGCTGATGTACACCGGAACAGCTCTGTAATAGCACTGCTCCAGAACCGTCACAGTCCTGCAATACCGCTGCATCCCAACCTGCAGAATCCCGTCTTCAGTATAACAGTTGTGTTAGACTAGCATATATTACAGATATCATGTAGTCATTTAGTCAAGGGATATCTTCAAAGGTTTTATCTTTTCAAATATTTTTTTCATCTAGAACCCTTGTGATCACTTCATGATGATGCAAACAAACTGTGGTCAGTTTCCGCTTATGTTGATGAATGCAAAGGCGTGGGATGAAAATATTTATTTGAAAACTGAACTTTGGGGAACCCGTGAACCACGAGCTGATCGTGTAGTGTAGGACCTCTACTGTTTTGAAATTGTTGAAAGATGTAATCTTTACTTTGGGACTGTCTCAGTCTTTGTAGAATTGATCAATATATGTCAACATTCCATATGGATTAATCTACTCTGCCACTTTTACTGGGTTTCTCCCAATCTTGCTGTTTCTCTACTGTAACCTGTTACAGCTTATTTGTTACAGAATTCAAATTCTAAATCGCATCTTTGAAGGAAATTATCCTTTTGCCTGTAAATATAAAACCAACGGTTCCTGCTGTGCTACATCTTGTATGTTCTTTCCCGGTATCGGGGAATGTTGTAAATGTCACGCAATAGTGGGGTGATTCCATTGTGATAGTGACGTGATATTATCGCGATAATGCATCGAAAGTGCCGCGATAATAACAAGATAGTGCCGCATTTGTGGCAGAAATTTGTTGGGAAAGTACTTATGAAATGTATGCACGTAGCTAATCAGACACTGTGGTAGATGATCATGTGATACCATTCAACCTATAAATAGGATTTTGTTGATTCCTCAAAGCTCAAGTTAGCTCAAATATATTTACAATACGTCAGTTCAGCCAAGATCACCAGCATGTATGGATGGCTTATTTATACTTGTGGATGTGTCCGTTAGAGGAATACATTCTTGATCAAGGTGCTTCAACTGAGGTTTATTTGAACTAGAATTGTTATGTCTTAACTGTGAGAGTTTAGATGAAGATGTGCTGAAGTAGGTCGACATATTGTGTAGGCGTACACTAGCTCCAGATGTGTGTAGATGCTGCCAGTGTTGTACATGACGCTGGTGAGAACCAGTTAATACTAAAACCACACCCTACCTGGGACATATCTCATGTTTTGCAGTAGGAAATGGAGGTTCATATTTCTTGGGTCATTGTGATTTCTTCTTTGTAAAATCTTATTTATTCTTAAGATTCATCAAATTAATGTAACGTCTTGTTCTATGGATTTTCTTCAACATTAAATACGCCGAGTGGCAGGAGATAAACATACTGGTTTGAGAAAATATGATTTCAAACACATCTAAATGAATTATCTAATACCTTCTGTAGATGAGGCACATCACTGAAACAAGGAAATTGCTAAGGTAGCTTTATGTCCAAAAAAATGTGAAGAGTCTTCTCTATTGCAGTAAATTAAAGAAGTTGTTATCTATAAATTGCGTCAACTTCTAAGAAATGCCTATCAATTAGGAGTCTTCTGCCAAACCTTAAATGATAGAAACAGTTACTGTGCTGAAAGCTAATAAAATTGATCATTTTAGGAATATAAATATTATTAATACTGGTATTATTTTATATTTTGACTGCTGATTAAAATTCAATTTATGATTTTTATATTGGTCAGTTTTGTGACGTATTGAACAATGTCAATATGTTTTAAGAGTATCATGCATCTAAAATCATATTAATTAACAGTTCTAGTTTCTTGACTGATAGGCATGGTGTAGACTTATACCATTATTTGATTAAATTTGATCCTATGTTAAGCATTGACCAATCAGAAATCGCCCATATTATAAAACATGTTGATAACAGTAGATCAGGGGAGCTAACTCTTGAACAACCATGCTGTAGTAGGATAATTAGTAAAGGACAGTGTGTTGAAGGGTTCAAACCTACCAAATGACAAATATCATTTATGAAATAAAATTGTTCTTTTTTATTTACATTAGTATACTGTACTGATCCCAGCAGTGTATATAAACAGATGCCAATCTTTGCTCATAGATCTTATGTAGAAGTTGACTAGGGATAGATATATGCAACATAGATACGTCAATTATTTGCATTCAAAGTTGTATATTATGATTCCAGATATTTTGTATATATTTGTGTGGTCATGTGCATTTTATTTCATATGTCATCTTTTCATAATCAAATAACATGATGATTTCTTATCTCCTTATGTAGTTGTAGACAGCAGAGGGTGTAACAGTAGAAGCTGATGTGAGATTAAATACCATTGGTGTTATTAACACACTACATAGGTGTTGTCATTTTAATAATACATGTGTAAATTAGCAGTAATTTGTATTCATTTCCTATTTTTAGTGGAACCTTTGCAATAAAATATTTTTTTCCAAATGTTTAGTGAAATCAAAAAATTCTAAACTCTCGCTACATGTGTAGGTCCTGTTAGAGAAATTGTTCACTTGAGAATAAATTTTCTTATTTATCTCCGTATCAGTAATCAACATTCTAAGGTTTAAAAGAAGTTAGTTCCAGCATTAGCATGAAAATTTGCCTTTTTGCTTTCAAATTTGAAAATGTTTCTTCACCTTTTTCATAACTTTTTTTTTTTTTAAGTGTAAAACTGAAATTAAACACCTTAATGCAGACTTTCATCACTGAACCATATGTACAAAGTATTAGAAACCTTATAGCCAAATTTGCTGATTTTTTTTGGGTCATAAAACAAAAATGAAATACAGCCATGTATTACAATACAAATAATAATCAGCATGTGTAAACAGTGTTACAGGTGTTAACTGCAAGTTTCATTTTCATCCTACATCTCCATAAAGTTCAAGGTCAGTAGCCACAGATAACTCCATACCCAGTACCACTTCCCCATCCATAATGCATCAAACATTTCTGCTGCTGGAAACAAACAAAATGTGTATATGAAGATACACCAACATATAGAGTAACATACAAGCCCTGGAGAAATAACTTCAATATATTTCTGTATCATTTAGTTACAACTTTTTTGCAAATAACTTGAAAATCTATTTATGAACTGAATTTGAAGGCTTGGTTGTGTTATATCACTATTTATGTCTTATTAAAGTTTAGATAACTGAATAAGGTGATTACCCTACGACTTTTGCGCCTCTAGATATTTGATTTCTAGCTGTCCAGTTGACAAGGGATGCAAACATGGGACCAATTTTCATTTGAACTTTGTGTAAATAAGGAAAGTTGGTGTCAACGATTGACGATAATGATAAATGTTCTGTTTGTGTGTCAGGTGTAATTTTAATAACTGAATGTGTTAATAATGCTTTTTATAGCTCCATGTATGCATAAGTACTTTATTAGTGATTGAGTGCTTTTTTATTGTGTTAATGCATCAAAAATTTGCTTTAAAAGTGTTCCTTGGCGTCATTTGTGCGATGTTCCCTAGTCTCCTCCTAGAGTATGCAAAGCATTCCACTTGAAGTGTTCCTGGAACGCAGGGTGTTCCTGCAGTGCAAGGTGTTCCTACAATGCTGTAGTGCCATATATTCACAGCATTAGTTACGATTGTAGCTTCCAGATGTAGTTTTAGATTAAATCAGACAGGATTATCCCAAGTTTGATCCAGATTAAGCCCTATAATGACACCATTTTTTGTTGCAGTTGATTCTGAGCCAGGAATTCACTGGCTATTCTGAACACTCATTTTAATGAGGAAAAAACAGACACAACTATAGTTAATTATGCAAATTATTTGGATTATATATCAACTATGACATGGTGTAATTCGGAAAAAATCACTTGAATCTTTTGATGAGGAAGTAGAATCAACTCAGCCTTGGGTCTCGTTGATTCTATTTCTGGAATCAAGAGATTCTCATGACTTCTCTGTTACATATATAGTATATGTCTCATCAAAGACACTGCACTGTGCTGATTGACTATCTGTAATAATATTTAGGCGTGACATGATACAGAGTGTGTGTTTGCAGTTATATGCTTTCAACATATTCTTTTCCCATCACAATCCATCCTCAGGTCTTCAGGGGTATGCATTCACCATGTTGCTGGTGTCTACAGATCTGTGAAGTATTGAGGAAGGTCAGTCACAATCACATTGAATATACCGTATTCGAAGTAATAAGCGGCCAGGGCGCTCTCAAAATTAGAAATGGGGGGCTCTTATTAGAATAAAATTTTGGTGAGAAAACAATACAGAGTTGAAAGATCGTAAATTTCGTGATTTATGGTGACAGCCTGAAAAGAAACAAAAGAAAAGTCAATGCGTATTATACACGACAGATATATTTTCCAGAATTTAATTGCCCATAATTAAGTGTGCATATAACACACGAGTGCATATTATACACGAATAAATAAGTGTTCATTGATCAATCGGAAGGGGTGCTAATTGGGATTGTTCACTAGCCAATATATTAGCAAATATTGCCATGGGTGCTTATTAGAGCTAGGCGCTTATTACGTCGAATACGGTATATACAAACTGAAAGAAAAAATGAATAGGATATTCATGGTGTTCGATTCAGCACATCACAATTCAAATTAACTTTATTGGAGATGTGTGTGTCATGCTCTGTTGTTTGGAGGATTGTATCTAGTGTTTTCCACAGCTTGATAGAGTGAACCTTTTGTACATAACTTGTTATCATTGTTGCTTTGTTATTGTAAAATATATACATATCTACAGTTTGTATAATTATTTTTTTTTTTGGGATTATCATACTTTTGTTATGTATATGTTTACTGTTTTACAATCAGAGAACAATCTGAATAAATAAGGTCACACAATAGATTGAATATAATATACATATTTGTGATGAGACATTCCTGAAACAAATACTTATCCATCTTGGGACAACATGTACAAGCACGGTACTGAAACTGGAAAAAGCATTTACATTCCCTTCAAAGGTCAAAAGATCTGCAAGTAATTGATATCAAATATATGATGCCCTTGTTTTATTTAATTTGTATGCTGTTTACATAAAATATGTTTCATATAACTTCTTATCTCAGATGTAATTCCTTTTGTTTAAATATTGACAGTATTGTTTAGATTTATGCAGTTTCCATCCACTTGACAGGTAAACACAGACAACTATTCTGTGTGTAGGTTTAGAACATTCCCTGTGATGAAATGTGATGTGCTACCATGTGTTTCAATGCTATACGGTATAAGGAGTTTGAAGGTGTCAAGTTTCGTTACTTATTTACAGGCTGTTGTCATACAGCTGGAATATTGCTGAGTGTGGCATTATACAGCAAACAAACAACACAAAACCACATCACCTCCTCTCAACTCAACATCACCCACAAGAGATTACACTATTAACTGTCCTGTCTATACAAGCATTCACACATGTCAGCCACAAGAGATCACACTATTAACTGTCCTGTCTATACAAGCATTCACACATGTCAGCCACAAGAGATTACACTACTAACTGTCCTGTCTATACAGGCATTCACACATGTCAGCCACAAGAGATTACACTATTAACTGTCCTGTCGATACAAGCATTCACACATGTCAGCCACAAGAGATTACACTATTAACTGTCCTGTCTATACAAGTATTCACACACGTCAGCCACAAGAGATTACACTATTAACTGTCCTGTCTATACAAGCATTCACACATGTCAGCCACAAGAGATTACACTACTAACTGTCCTGTCTATACAGGCATTCACACATGTCAGCCACAAGAGATCACACTACTAACTGTCCTGTCTATACAAGCATTCACACATGTCAGCCACAAGAGATTACACTATTAACTGTCCTGTCTATACAAGCATTCACACATGTCAGCCACAAGAGATCACACTATTAACTGTCCTGTCTATACAAGCATTCACACATGTCAGCCACAAGAGATTACACTACTAACTGTCCTGTCTATACAAGCATTCACACATGTCAGCCACAAGAGATCACACTACTAACTGTCCTGTCTAGACAAGCATTCACACATGTCAGCCACAAGAGATCACACTATTAACTGTCCTGTCTATACAAGCATTCACACATGTCAGCCACAAGAGATTACACTATTAACTGTCCTGTCTATACAAGCATTCACACATGTCAGCCACAAGAGATTACACTATTAACTGTCCTGTCTATACAAGCATTCACACATGTCAGCCACAAGAGATTACACCATTAACTGTCCTGTCTATACAAGCATTCACACATGTCAGCCACAAGAGATTACACTATTAACTGTCCTGTCTATACACACATTCACATGTTATAATAAACTCAAGTTTGATTACATCAATTACAATAAGCACACATAGGGAAGATGCAGATTAACAAGAGATGAATATTGTCATCATTTATTAAAGCTAGTCCTTTTATCACATTGGCATTGTCCAGGCCAAACTACTTATTCCATGTATATTTGGTGTTTCCTATGTGATAACATCCTAAGATGTTGGTGTTCAGTGATGTTCACATAGTGACTCTCACACAGCTTTATGATCAAACATTGTATACTTTTACTGAGAGAATGTTAGCCCTTGAAACTTTGATGAAGGTCACACCTGAGGACTACTTAACACTGGGACTGCCCTGCTCAATAACAATGTGGTACACTACTATATCATAAGCATGTCCTGCCTCACTGGTGACTCTGGTCACAAATACATGCAAGACAAGTCAAGTGTTGACCTGTACAAACACAGAACATTTGTACAAGTCAAAATTGGGAATTGCATTGGATATCATTTTGGTCACTAATGCATCAAATTTGGTAGTGTCCCCCAATTGTCTACCATTTTGAAAGTTTTACTGAGACCTTGTATGCTGCAACTACTTAATAGTATTAATCTTAATGTTTTTCAAAGTTTATTATGAGTCCCAATACAAAACCAAAAATGAATTTACAATAACATTATAAGGTATCCAAAGTAAATTAGAGGTTAGATTTACATTCTTGGGCTAATATTTTGACAAAATAGTTTGACCAACGGCAACATTTTACAGCTGGGTTGAAACAGTGATGAAAAGTATATGCATGGATCACTGAAGGTTTGAGGGGCGGTCAGGTAGCCCAGTGGTTCAAGCCTTTGCTCATCACGCCAAAGACCCGGGTTCGATTCCCGACATGAGTACAATGTGTAAAGGCCCATTTCTGGTGTCCCCCGCCGTGATATTGCTGGAATATTGCTGGAATATTGCTAAAAGCGGCGTAAAACCCCATTCACTCACTCACTGAAGGTTGGTGATGACACCGGGTGTTCAATAGTATGGGAATGCTTACAGGCAAGGCTTACAGTGTAAGGTCATGAGAGATGTGCGAGGGCATGACATAAGTGCATGACATCATGACATCACTCTCAGTGTATGATCACTGTTATTGTTCTCCATGTGATCAATGTTGGCTTATAGTCCCCCACCATTATTTGTATATAATAGGTTTACGACGAGCTCACAGTGCCACTGGCGCAAGGATGTTGTGTTTTTGAGTTTTATGCTAGACTGTTACACAAAGCAGCCGTTTCTGTTACCAAGTGTGTTGAACTTGAAATGACAAATATTTACCCAGTAAAGATCCAACGTGGAGATCAATAGCAAATGTGAACACAGCCATAATATTGGTGAACCAACACCACACTGAGATTAACATGGGGCTCCCATGCCTGTTTATGTTGAAAATGTATTTGTTTATGATTTGTACGTACCTACCTATTAGTATTAAGACTTTATTTAACATTCCACTTTCAACTAGTTAGCGATTTCAAAATCAGTGTTTTATTTTGATTAAAAGTTTTAAATCATAGTGACAGTATTACAATTTTGATACACACATTTAATTAGTTCTGAATGGAATTATTCCATATTTTGCTTGGTACTAGAGATCAAGTAGAGTTGTATATGTTGTGTCCAAGAGAGCATATTTGTTCTATGTTAGGCAATCACGTTGCTGGGGCTCTCTCCATGCCCTCCAAGGCGAGCAGGTTCGCCAATATACTGTATCTTCACTACCATCGCTGAAAATATTTGCCATGGAAAGAGGTTAAGACGTTGACACCGAATACGGAAAATAAATCATTTCTTCTTATTCTTTCATTTTGTGTTTTCAATTAGTCAGTCAATTGTGTCTTCTTTCGATGATCTCAATTTCGTAGCCGTTACCTCGTGTTAATGTCAGACTTTACACCCCCCTAATATCGGTCTGCATCAACAAGACAATATTATGTTTGATCTACACGTGGATGAACTTGTTAATTGAACACACGAACGTAATCATATAGAGAGAAGCAGTTTATTTACATGCACTGTTTGACAGATGGCAATCACTGCTGCCTGGAGTAAGGTACACAAGTAAGGGGGTGGAGTGCGTGAGTTTGGTTCTACGCCATTTGTAATATAGCAACAGTATAGCCTTGTCTCGATGGAGACGTCAACAATTGGCCTCACTCATTGTACTCTCCTGGTAATTTAACAACGCGTCAACCAAGAATTACCGATTTTTAAGATAATTGTTGTTGTTATCAGAATGGCCATTAAAGCATTCAGGCGCAGAAACAGCTTCTTGGAAGGGGTGGGGGTAGATGCACAGTTTTGTTTGTAAAAAAGAAGCGTGAACTTACAATAAATAAATTGAAAGAAAATAATTCGGGAAACAACTTCCGATTGTTATCCAAAATATTGTCATTGAAGTTTCATAATTGTTAAAAAACAAACCATAAAATTACTTGGGGGGGGGGGGGGGGGGGGGGGGGGGCAGTTAATTATCATGATTGAAAACTGTGAGATTCTGGAAGTATGTATATCGCCAATCGCGAATCTCAAAGGTACTGATGCTGCGTCTTGATCTGGGAGCACTGCATGGGTTAAAGGTGGGATAATATATTGTGAGTCGAACATAACATTTGTGTTTAACACACGTCGCCCCAACAGGACTTGTCCAGGGAAAGCAGCTGCTTCCACATCACGTGCGTTCGGTTATATTCAACTTTATCTGTTAATTGTAAATTCACCACAATACCTGTATGACCATAAGCGCGTACACGTAAAATGCATTTCAACGAAGCTGCTATTAACACCATCACACGTTTCTGAAATATAACACCATTGCACAAATAGGCGCCCACCATTTTGGTTGATATATACAGTACATTGTGTGCTCATGCATAGAAGATCCGCATACACTATGTTCTAATACGTAGTGTATTCCCGGAGAATGAAACAAGGCAGTATCAGGTAGTGAAATAATCGCTGGATCTGTTCGGAAACGTCTTTCCGCTTGTGATTATCAAGAAAGTGATGACTGCTAATCACTTCATCTGTTGTGTTCAGACGAATTATACGCTTGGATTCATTATTCAAATATACGCCCCGTGGACTCTGTAATCCCAAATCCCTATTTTTAAAATATAAAATTCTTTCGTCCAACTTATATCTAAGTAAAATATTGAATTCTGGAACAATAACTAGTTTCATTTGTGCTTTGAACTGCAAAATTGTAAGAGAAACACTGATAGCATATACTATGAAGAAGAAACACAGGCTGCAATTGAGACTTGCTGTATATAATGAATATTCAATCATAATGTATTCAAAATAATTTCAAATTGTTTCAGTTACATCTATCAGTAAAGGGACGTTATGCTCCATCATTTTGCATTGTGGCATGCTTAAGCCCACCCAAGCAGTACTTGCGAGTATGCCAAGTGTGTTTAAACTGTTGTCCCTATGAACATGGTATAACAAGTTGTCTTAAAACTTATCTGGGTGGGTTTGATTTGACTAGGCAGCGCTTCATGGGAGGATTTCCGTTCGCTGTCTGGGCTGCGTGTAGAGGGGGCAAGGGCCCTGAGATGACGATGAGCCTAATCAGCCTGACAGTACCAGGATCACCCAAACCCTCTTTGCTGCATTTTTGTATTTTAATCTGTACATCATCATCATCACCATAATAATAATAATAGTGCTTCTTATATAGGCTAAAGGCCACACATGTGCATGCTCAAAGCATATGTATATATACGTGTTGTTAGTATAGCTACATGGCCTAACGATACAAAACTCGTATCGTAGGAATTTTTGCTTTCCACTAAGTGTCATGGCTCTATCCACAAATATAACATACGGACATGAAGGTAGTTAATGTATAGAACCAAGCGTTCACACAGATCTGTACAATATTTGTGCTATAGAGAGCTAGCCCAACAACAAAAACAGGTCCAAACGAAACGCTCTGAAGTGTTGGTTGCCGAAAGTTCCATGTATGTTGCTGTGTCATAGACACAGCGACGAGAAACGCGCTAACACGGTTACCACATGGTCGATCCTTGACTTCTGAAGAATGTGATAAAGATGGCCATTTGAAAACTCCAATCCCGCAACATTGTTGGTGCTTATAACGTTTGCGTCAATACATGTTGGTTTGGGAATCAAGACGTCCGTCAGGCCATCATTTGTGCCCCGGATGTGACTTGTCCAAAGATGCTCTCGAGGTCCATTTCTTGAGTTGTCGCTGACGGCACGTCCGTATACACTAACTCGTGTCCCGACACCTTTATCCCGAACGCTGAGATGAAGACGTTGATCACCGTGATAAAGAGAATCATTGCCACGCTGATATTGTTCATCACTATTGCCCGTTTCTGTGCCTCGCCCGTCCGCGCTTCCATATTGCCGAGGATGATGATGATGACGCCGACGCATATTTGCAACGTCACCGACAACCCAATGAGTACCAACTGTGGTACGTACAGGACGTCGCGGTGACTATCCGGCGTCTGTAACAACGCCTTCAGCTGGGAACCGTTGGCGAGGAGAAGAGCGATGTCCAGCATGCCTTGCGCGACCGTCTTTCGGGTTGTGTAGGTCCTGGAGGCGAACACAGCCTGCCCGGACTGGAAGAGGAGAAGAACAGACATATTAGAAGGAAATAGTAAGTATGGTCTTACGTCGCCTTAGCAATAGTCTAGCAATAGTCTAGCAATATCACGGCGGGGAACACCAGATGTGCTTCCGACATAAGAAAGAAATAAGAAAAAGTTTAAAATTAATCGTATTTGCGAGAGAGAGAGAGAGAGAGAGAGAGAGAGAGAGAGAGAGAGAGAGAGAGAGAGAGAGAGAGAAGAGAGAGAGAGAGAGAGAGAGAGAATCGATATAAATGTACAAAACGGGCACTATGACACGCAATCAGTTCAGCAACCAAGATATCTGGGCACTATGACACGCGTTCAGTCCAATAACCAAGCTATCTGGGCACTATGACACGCAATCAGTCCAGTAACCAAGCTATCTGGGCACTATGACGCGTAATCAGTCCGGTAACCAAGCTATCTGGGCACTATGACACGCATTCAGTCCAATAACCAAGCTATCTGGGCACTATGACACGCAATCAGTCAAGTAACCAAGCTATCTGGGCACTATTACACGTAATCAGTCAAGTAACCAAGCTATCTGGGCACTATGACACGCAATCAGTCCAGTAACCAAGTCAATGGGCACTATGACACGCAATCAGTCAAGTAACCAAGCTATCTGAAAGTATGACACACAATCAGTCAAGTAACCAAGCTATCTGGGCACTATGACACGCAATCAGTCAAGTAACCAAGCTATCTGGGCACTATGACACGCAATCAGTCAAGTAACCAAGCTATCTGGGCACTATAACACGCAAACAGTCCAGTAACCAAGCTATCTGGGCACTATGAAACGCAATCAGTCAAGTAACCAAGCTATCTGGGCACTATGACACGCAATCAGTCCAGTAACCAAGCTATCTGGGCACTATGACACGCAATCAGTCCAGAAACCAAGCTATCTGGGCACTATGACACGCAATCAGTCAAGTAACCAGGCTATCTGGGCACTATGACACGCAGTCAGTCAAGTAACCAAGCTATCTGGGCACTATGACACGCACTCAGTCCAGAAACCAAGCTATCTGGGCACTATGACACGCAATCAGTCAAGTAACCAGGCTATCTGGGCACTATGACACGCAATCAGTCAAGTAACCAAGTCAATGGGCACTATGACACGCAATCAGTCAAGTAACCAAGCTATCTGGGCACTATGACACGCAATCAGTCCGGTAACCAAGCTATCTGGGCACTATGACACGCAATCAGTCCAGAAACCAAGATATCTGGGCACTATGACACGCGTTCAGTCCAATAACCAAGCTATCTGGGCACTATGACACGCAATCAGTCCAGTAACCAAGCTATCTGGGCACTATGACGCGTAATCAGTCCGGTAACCAAGCTATCTGGGCACTATGACACGCATTCAGTCCAATAACCAAGCTATCTGGGCACTATGACACGCAATCAGTCAAGTAACCAAGCTATCTGGGCACTATTACACGTAATCAGTCAAGTAACCAAGCTATCTGGGCACTATGACACGCAATCAGTCCAGTAACCAAGCTATCTGGGCACTATGACACGCAATCAGTCAAGTAACCAAGCTATCTGGGCACTATGACACGCAATCAGTCAAGTAACCAAGCTATCTGGGCACTATGACACGCAATCAGTCCAGAAACCAAGCTATCTGGGCACTATGACACGCAATCAGTCAAGTAACCAGGCTATCTGGGCACTATGACACGCAGTCAGTCAAGTAACCAAGCTATCTGGGCACTATGACACGCAATCAGTCCAGTAACCAAGCTATCTGGGCACTATGACACGCAATCAGTCCAGTAACCAAGCTACCTGGGCACTATGACACACAATCAGTCAAGTAACCAAGCTATCTGGGCACTATGACACGCAATCAGTCCAGTAACCAAGCTATCTGGGCACTATGACACGCAATCAGTCCAGAAACCAAGCTATCTGGGCACTATGACACGCAATCAGTCAAGTAACCAGGCTATCTGGGCACTATGACACGCAATCAGTCAAGTAACCAAGTCAATGTGCACTATGACACGCAATCAGTCAAGTAACCAAGCTATCTGGGCACTATGCCATGCAATCAGTCCAGTAACCAAGCTATCTGGGCACTATGCCATGCAATCAGTCCAGTAACCAAGCTATCTGGGCACTATGACACGCAATCAGTCCAGTAAACCAAGCTATCTGGGCACTATGAAACGCAATCAGTCCAGTAACCAAGCTATCTGGGCACTATGACACGCAATCAGTCAAGTAACCAAGCCATCTGGGCACTATGACACGTAATCAGTCCAGTAACCAAGCTATCTGAAAGTATGACACACAATCACTCCAGAAACCAAGCTATCTGGGCACTATGACACGCAATCAGTCAAGTAACCAAGCTATCTGGGCACTATGACACGCAATCAGTCCAATCACCAAGCCAATGGGCACTACGACACAAACTCAGTCCAGAAACCAAGCTATCTGGGCACTATGCCACGCGATCAGTCCAGTAACGATGAGTTGACAACCCGATCTTAATTGTAATATATTTTATTTTAAAATTAAGATTCACAACCACCTACCACCACTTCCCCCTTGATTGTGTTAGTATTAGTTAATACGTCAATATATTGCTTAAACATTTGTCTCATCCCGCACAGGACATACATATCCCAATCATGCTAATACCATCTACAGCCGGACAAACAGTCCTCATGTCATCTCACCATTTATATTTTGTTACGTTTGTTCTTTCTAAATATTTCTTTTCTCTGTCTAAACATTTAACATTCAAACAGAGCGTGGATCATATGGCTGGATGCCGGACACTCCAAATATTAATATCGTTTGAGAATGTGACAGGGAATCAGCTTCTTTCCATACTTTCTTTAAAACAGGTACCACGGGAAACTACTTTTTATACATAAACGTCTATTAGTCGACAACAGGTGGGCAGAGTTCTCAAATACTTTGGCGAAAGATCAAAGGCAGAGGATATGGTTCATCCGACAGTCAACTCTATTTTTTAGGTAATATTACAATCCATTGACATAACCGTCGACCCTCAGGTAAACCCCTTTCCGCTTCTAGGCTTGCACACTCGAAGATCTTTGAATTTCCGTAAACAGACACAAAGGATTTCAGGGTGTCCAAAAAAACTGGAGGATAAACATTTAAGAACGATTGGTCACTGTGGATTACTGCTTAGGCCACCAGCCAGTGCTTATTCCATGGGCCCCGGGTGCTAAGCCCTTACCATCTGTCACTAACCATCAGATCAATGCTTAAAACATCCGTCACATAGGATCAGTGTTTATACCATCGGTCACGCTCACACAAGATCAATGTTAATCCTGCCCCACACTGAAGAACATGTAGCACATGCGGTGTATCTTTGGGCATGATGCCTCTGTTCACCCAGTAGTGAATGTATACCCGGTAGGGTATTTGTTTGTTTATTTGTAGGTTGTTTGTTTTGTGTGTGGTTGGTTGTTTAACGCCGCACTCAGCAATATTCCAGCTATACGACGGCGGTCTGTAAATAATCGAGTCTGGACCAGACAATCAAGTGATTGACATCATAAGCATCGATCCACGCAATTGGGTGGCGTGCATGCATTAACCAAGTCAGTGAGCTTGACCACCCTTTAGTCGCCTCTTCCGACAAGCATAGTCGCGTTTTACGACAAGCATGGGTTGCTGAAGTACCCGGATCTTCACGGGTAGCATACCCGTAGGATGAGATGGTAATGTGTCTGTTAACCTTCCAGCGGCTCACATAGAGCTTAGGTTGTATGATCCCCAGGAAGCTGAGAATGCAAAAAGCGAGTGCACCCCGACCCATTGACCGGGGTAAAAATAATGCAACTATTTGAGCATACATCGCATATTGAGTTATGAGATTTACAGACGGCCTATTATTACTGTACAATAATAACTACGCGATAAATCGCAAATAATAATGAGTGAGTGAGTGAGTGAGTATTGTTTTACGCCGCTTTTAGCAATATTCCGGCAATATCACGGCGGGGGACACCAGAAATGGGCTTCACACATTGTACCCATGTCGGGAATCGAACCCGGGTCTTCGGCGTGACGAGCGAACGCTTTAACCCACTAGGCTACCCGACCGCCCCCAAATAATAATGAAGAACGAGGCATGGTTTATTTCATGATAAAACATTATTCTATCATGACGTCACTTCTGGAGATTCGAACATACAACTTGTTTACGTCAAAAATTGAACGACGTTATATTTCAGGGGGTAGTGAGTTGTTCTCCACCGATGTAGCTGGGCAACGCAGATAAACGCAATGGCCGGATGATCTCATCCAAAAATAGGCGAGGTATGGCTATCGGTTTTTAAAGAAAAAGTACAGATAATCTCCTGGAGAATTGTGAGAATATTCAGGAAATACAAAACTTAACCTCCCTGTTCATAAAATGGACTTGTCCGACAAGTACGGCTACATATTTTTTATAGCTTGTACATTTTATAAACATCCTTCAGGTTAACCATAGCTGATGTTGTTTTGAGTAATGGGGCCTTGGCTATCGGTCATGTGCAATCGTTCCAAGAATAGCTAATATGATTATAGTAATAATACTAACAAGAAGGGTCCCCACCCCCGTTCCTACGGGCCCGATAAAATAAGCGGCGTATATAATTAGTGTATTGGTTTAAATGGAGTGGTTAATACTTTTAACTGAAACCAATCTCCCCATACGCCAGTTTGCACAGTTGCCATTATAACATCACGTACAGGTATCGGTAATTTACGGGCTGTGGAGAGGAGACACGAAGACAACCAGACCTGAATTGCTCGCAATCTGCCAAAAGTCTCTCTAACTATTTCACAATAGCCTGGTGTTAGACAGTGCAAACGTTAGGAGAGGGCTTGACTGAAAATCCTTAAGGCCAGAGTCAGGGGACACGTTACAAACACGCCACCGTGCCAAAATATAAAACCGTCCTTCTCCACGTGCAGGTGTACATCCA